ATTTCCTTTTACCGTTAACTCTTCCAGACATAATTGCTTTCTCTACTGAATTCTCATGCATTACATGGCCAAAATAAGTGAGATGCAGTTTGGTGATTTTGCCTTCCTGTGACATGTCTGGTGTTATGCTGGTCACCTTTCCTGTCCAAGGAATATGGAAGAGCCTTCTCCATCACCACAAATAAAAGCCAACATTATAACAACATAGAATCCAGTGAGCAGAACAGGCACTTCTGTGCCATCCTCTGTGCCATCACTTTGATAAGGGTTGGTAAGGATTATCAGATACTGCTCTGATCATCTTCCAGCCAATGCCTCCTCTTAATATGTTGTCCAAAACAAGGAGGAAAAGGTAATCCTTGCTCAACAACTGCTCTGTTTAGTGACCAAAATTATGACAGTACCAAAAAAGTAACTTTACAATCAGCTCATACGACTGTTGCAGCATCCCTATAGTCATGTGATCAAGATTTGGGCACTTCACAACTATCACAGCGTTCCACAGTCACATCATCACCATTTCCATGTTTCACAACTAGCTTCTGACAAGCAGAATCAATGGAGAAGCTGACAGTAAAATAGAAAGTCATGATCACAGGATGTCACACTTAATGACTATGGCGGAAGTGGGGTTGTAAATCCGTTGTAGTCATGTGATGTCTTGTTTAACAGCCGTATCGCTTAGGAACATAGTTGCTGGTTCCAATTGTGGTTGTTAAGCAAAGTTAGTGATTTTGATTCTGCTTGGATCCCAGACTTCAGATTAGGGTTATGGCTAAACATAGATATGTCCTATCTTCGCAGATTGAGATAGTTTCTGCTTACATCCTAAATTTTTTGTTGCTTTTTTCCCACCTTATTAGTCAGTAGCAAGACTCTCCAATGCGTATTCCTCTGCGTTAAGCACAATTTACATAGTGACACTTCTGTTAAGTCAGTTTATTTAACAATAACTTGCTAAATAAGGCATTCTGATCTTGAAAAAGATCAGAAATGCTAAGTCATAAATGATTGTTAACAAGCTACCATGGCTGGGGTTACACAATCCTACAAACCTGAACTAATTGAACCATGTTATAGCTTAACACATATAAAATCAATCTTTATATTCTTGTTGTGTGCATTTTATGATAAGTACAAGTAAGGATGGATCCAAATTACTGCCTTCCTAAAGTTCAGTGAAACTTTGCGGCCAATGTGTATAGAACAAAGGTGTAGACAAAATGAGAAAGTTTCTTAACGGTTCAATTTTAAGCAAAACATATTTTTGAATCATTTATTCCCTGTGGAAATAGAAAAAGGTCATTAAGGCTTTTCAATTGTGTTGTTTTTGAACTTTTACAGTTACTGGTTTGGCCTCTTGGATATTCAGCAACTTAAGAGAGTTTTGTGGTTTTTCATGTAACAAACTAAAATATAGAATGCAATAAGCTGTCTAACAACCAAGCCACTTCACAGATTCTATTGTGAAAGGATTCATACATCAAGAATATTAAATTAGCAACTCTTTGTCTTAAAGCAATAAATACATGTCTTTAAAAAAGGTTTACAATATTTTTCCCTAATTTCAACCTAGAGAAAAAGTAGCAAGTGAAATGGTTTATCATCTTTTCCATTGTTTCCACTGGTTTACTTCCCAATAAAGACACCTTTGCTATTTAAAAAAAAACCTATTTTAGGAATTGTGATCAAAATAATGGTACAATTCTATAAAAGAGGGAGAGGGAGAGGCAGTGTTCAAATAGCCATCAAGAATTTATAACAGTATTCTGCAGTTGGGAGATCTTTTGTTCCAGAAAGTAGATTGGAGAGCAAAGTATCACTTTTCAAAGGCCTGTTAATATGTTTTACTTGCAGCACAAGAAGACTTCATTCAGATGTCAACCTTTGTACTCTCCTGAATTTCAGATCAGGTTCACGGATCATTTTACAACTTAATGGTTTCATGAGCTATGTGAAAAATTATCTCACTTTTCAGAAGTGGCCTTGTTTTCTTTTTTTTTTTCCTGGTGTATGAATTGCAAATTTAGAGATCAGATGCTGAAGCTGTGGTTAAAAACTGAACAATATTTCATCTTCTAAATCAATTAATGCAACATTTTGGTGACAGTTGTTTATTTTCTTCTGTCCAAAGGAAAAAAGCAATTCCCAGTCATTTTACCGCTGGGACCTGCTTGCTGGGATCTGTATCTCTAGGGAAAATTCTGTATACAAGTTTTTTACAGCAACAGGTGTGTTTCTTGCACACACCACTCCCACCCTGCATTCAGAGCCTTTTGGGATCCTTGTGCATACATACAAAATACAAGACTTCTATCTAAATACTTAATAAACCAAGGGAAGATTATTTGCAATTTCTATAAATATAAAAAGGAGCCTTTCCCAATCAGATGCCTTCCAGATAAGTTGGAAAACATGTGGAGGTTCCAAAATTTCCACATAGTACATCTTCTTGTAAATACTACAAATTTAAGATAATTATCAGTTATTTTTCTCCATCCAATTCAAAATTATCGTTGCAGTTTAAAGTACAGTTTCATAATTTCCTTATGTTGGTTCTCACCTTGTCAAGTGTGTGCTATACAACAAATTACAATTGTCCTGTAAAGACCTCATATTTCAGCCTTTCCCAAATTGGTACCTTCAAAATACACTGGCTTATCGATCAACAGCTATGCAGTCAGGGTGTGGTTAACACATGAAACTAAATTTTAATCATGGTATTGCTTCTTCAGCTATAAATCACAACTCACTGGATTCACAAAGAATCACATATTACACCAAAGCCGAGTTTATGTCTTGATATATCAGCACCAAGTTGGAGTCAGGGTTGCCCATTTTGTGTTGAAGCATTCTCCCATGCATCAAATCTCCACGCCACTCATGAGAACCTTGAAAGGGGAAAGTTCTTGATGTGATATTCAATATATTATAAATTACTTCTTTGATGGGGAGTGTTTCAGTTAAATACCTCAGGACATCAAAATATCTGGTTAAACTCACTATTTTATCTCCTGCAGACAGAACAGAGCAGACACAGAAGTATGCAAATGTATGTATGTGACATTTTCATCTTAACAGATCAAACTTAGAAATGAATAAGCTCAAGTGAGCCTGGTGTTCAGATAAACAACCATCTTTCCCAAACAACAACATACACCCATTCCATTCACATTTGGATTCCACCCTTCTTCCTGTGACAGAGCTGACAAAATCATCTCTTCTGATGTTCAAAAGACACCAGGCAAGCTTCAACTCCCCATCCCAAGACGGAAAGCTGCTCCCTGTGGAGCCATCCCATCCCTAAACTGCCAAGTTTATTCTGTCAGTCACACCTTAGAACATAGTCTTCAAAAGACAGTGGCACTTTGCCTTTTAATTCCAGCAGATAGACTACATTAAGCAGGTGCAGTGAGCAAAGAAAAAAAAACACAATTCTTTCAATGCAAGCACATCTATTTCTAAATATTTTGAGAAAGTCTGTGGTCTACAGGCACAAAGATAAGAAAGTCTACCTTTTCCCTGACTGCAATAAATCCCAAAGCATTTCTTCTTTCCTTTTTTCTTCTTCTCTGTTCTCCTTTGGTTAAGGCTCAGGATTTTTCTTCTAACAACACAGTGTGTAACACAACTTGTATAACACAAGTTACACACTAATCAGCATATTCTGTATTTATTCTCAGGTGGCATGTTGGTTTTTAGGGAATAAACAGGTGAAGTACTATCCCTCTGAAGAAATAACCTTTGAATAACTTTGGCTCCTGATGCTGAAACTGTTTTTAATATTTTGCAAGAGTTTAAACTTAAGAAGCACCTAACCTAAGACATATGACAAAACATTAAAAAAAAAACACACAAATCTCTCCACCTCAATTGCAAATACCACTTAGTTGGTAAGATTAGATGATTCTTCCCTTCTATCTTAAATGTTTCCCTTACCTTATTACTTCAAGGAAGCAAACTGAGGGAAGAATTGGAAATTATTTTTTTTGAAACAGAAAGAACTTCAACTTTTTCTCTGGGTTAAAAAAAAAAAAGTTTTGCAATCTCTCCCAGCCCAATCACTTCCCTACCCAGAACAAATACTCCATTTAAATGCTAAAGGTGAGTCATTATTTTTCAATAATTGACACCCTTGGCTTCTATAATCATATATAGTATTCATATAGCCTCAGTTTCCTTGAACCGGATATTTTCCATATATGTTGAACTGCAACTTCCATCATTTCCACCCAACAACTTGAATAAAGAGAGGAATTTATACTCTACTACGGCATCTGAAAGGGAAGACTGAAGAGAATAAAAAGGCATTTATTTTACAGTATTTAACTGACACACCTGCAGGGCCAACACATAAAACGCGTCCACACCTTCGAGGATACAAAAAAAATTTTTTTTACGCCGGCTACAAATGCTTTTGAAGATGAATGCCCCTTTCTAGTGGATCCTTCGTATCGTGAATCAAAATAGCGCTGGAAGGGACCTTGGAGGTCTTCTAGTCCAACCCAAGCAGGAGACCCTACACCACTTCAAACAAATGGTTGTCCAATCTCTTCAGGATAAGAGATTATTAAAGTCTCCTCTTTATCCTGAAAAGTGCCGCGACTAAAACTAAACGGAAACTTCTCGGAAGCTTTTTAGAAGACCTCCTTAAACTTTTCTTTTCTTTTTTTTTTTTTTTTGGTGGAGGGGATTCCCCAATCTCCACCTGTCCGAACATCAAACCAGAAAGCCCCGGGGGCAATATCGAGGGGGAAAAGATCCGAAGCAGCTCAAGAAAGAACTAAAAGCAGCAAATGAGACCGGGTGAAACGCGTCGGCCGGGAAAGAGGCGGGCAAAAAAAAAAAAAGTCGGGATGTAAAATAGGGAAGCGGGACGAAAGGCAAGAGGCGGGTCAGCCGGGAGAAGAGACAGAGAGAGAGAGAAAGAGAGAGAGAGGAGCGGCCAGTAGTTCCGCTGCGGCTCCAGCCGGGCTCACCGCCTGCCCCAAAAGTTTTACCTGCCACGACCGTCGCTCCGTCCTCAGCTGATGCCGCCTCAACTCCAGAGCGCTGCGCGGCTCTGAGATTTCTCTTAGCTCCGCCCTCGCGGTCTCCAGAGCCAGAGGCCGGCTTGCATTGGGCGGAGTCTCCTCTGACCTCACGGAGGGAGGGAGGGAGGGAAGGAGAGAGGAGTGGGCAGAGGTGGGGGGGGGGAGAAACAGAGGGAAGCACCGAGCTGGTTTTACTCCTGCTCAGGACTAAATAACGAGAATTGCTGGGCATGCGCAGACAGAGGAGCGAAGTTTAACGCTCCATGCGCCCCTCTTAAGCCCCGTTGTTGGACCTCTGATGGAAACTGCGCACGCAATGAAGAAGCCTGGATAGTGCAAACGCTGGAAGAAGGGGGGGAGGGGGTAGGAAACATGCTATGGTTACCGGGCAGAGCATGCGCAGTCGCTTGGCTACCGTCGGCCTTGCTCCGAGGATGAGAAAATGCGAGCGTTTGTACTGGACTTAGTTGTGTCTCCCCTCCTGTTCCTAATGACTTTAATTCTCGTTTTCAAGAATAGATTAGGCATTCATTTGCCCGGGATGGTATAGAGCAGAGGGTTGGACTAGAAGACCTCGGAGGTCCCTTCCAGCCTTGCGATTGTAAGACTTTTTTATGACTTCTAACTAAGACGCCGCCTGAGCTCCACCGGAGTGCAAAACTTTCCGCTCCATTTCCACCTTTTTGCAGGAATTTTACAGGCGTCGAGGTCAGAACAGACCCCGTTTCAGATGATTTCATCGCGGAAAAAAAATAGATGCAAAACCGGCTGAGCCGCGCGGGTATTTCTCCACCGCTCCGGTCTCTTTTGTCTCCCAAGGGCGTGCAAATACATCGTAATTGAATAGAATTCTTTCTTGGCCAAGTCTGGTTGGACACACAAGGAATCTTGTCTCCAGTGCAGAAGCTCTCAGTGTACCCACAAGCAACAAGTGATAAATCATCATCATAATCATAATGCAACCATCATGATTGTGAACTTTCCATCTGTCAGAAATGGTGTAATAGAGTCTCCTGCTTGAGGTGGGGATGGGGGTGGACTAGATGACCTACAAGGTCCCTTCCAACTCTGTTATTCTGTTACGCTGTCCCTTAAAAAGACGGAGAAATGTTGAGAAGAAGCTAGTTTGCTTGGCTTCCTTCGATTTGGAGAAGTCTGAAAGCTGTTTGTTGGATGGTGAAGATTCCTCTTAACCCAGCGATTTCTGTGTATAATTTTGTGGGAACAGCAGGAAATTGTTACTGCAAGAATTAGGGAAACCTCTCCTAGTGCAAGAGGGGCCATACTCGAACGGGACTCCAGCCAGACTTAAACGTGACAGGGAAGTAAGTTCAGGATCTCCAAAAGATGGACAGACTTAGGCTGGTTTGCTTTTACAGTATTGAACAGAATGCCTCCCTACCTCCTAGTTTGTTTAATGGGATCAAATAGTTAGACGGTAGTATCATGAGAACACAATATTAAATTGAATATTAATCCCAGCTGATTTAAAAACATAAATGGAAGCATCCAAACCTTTCCTAGTCTATTATTCCAGAGGTGGCTAAGGTATGGGTTAGAGATGACTAATGTATGGGATAGAGTGCCCAATTCTTTTTCCCTATGTGCAGACCCTAAATAAGTAACACCCACTCTAATAATGGTCTTGAAATTTACTTGTTCTGTTTAGCCTAAAATTAAGGTTCTCTACACATCCTGTTTTGTGGAGACCAGGGTCCTGATATATCATGTATTTATTTATCCATAGCTGCTCAATTCAACTAAGTGACTCTGGGTGGCTTAACAAGTCTAAAATTATAAAACAATTTAAAATTAATTAAAACAATAAAACATCCACAAAGTAAATAAGTACGAACAATAGCTGTGATGATTAACCAATTAATAGTAAAGCCAAATAAAAGGGGTCTGAGTCCCAGGCTTGGGCACATAATCAGATTTTCATAGCTTTGCAAAAAGCCAACAAAGTTGGGGCCATTTTAATCTCCCAAACCAGAATATTCCATAAGGCAGAGGCTACAGCAGAGAAAGCCCATCTTCTCACCAGTCAAAACTCTAGATGATGGATCTGCAGTGTGGCCAATCTAATTGGATTGGATGGATAGAGGCTTTTAGAAAAAGACAGTCCTTTAGGTAACACAGTCCTACACCTTGTAAGGCTTTAAAGGTGATAACCACCACTTTGAATTGCACCTTAAAACACAACAGCAGCCAGTGCAGCTGACAGAGGAGTAGTGTCAGATATGTCATGTAGCTGGCACCATTTATTATCCATGCAGCTATATTTTGCAGCAGTTGGAGTTTCCAAATATTCTGGAGTACTTTATTATTTCCGAGTGTCATTGTTTTACTCCAAGGGCAGTTAATGTTACAGGTAGATTTTGTGGAATGAGACTCATTATTTAGTAATAACGTTTGAGAATAACACATCAACGGACATGTTCTAACTTGTGTTTATGTTTATTCCATAAATATCTACGACACTACAGTTAAGAGAGAATCAGGAGGTCACAGCACTCTGTTTAGCCAGTTCAAAAAAACATTATTTCCTGCAGCGCAAGAATGCAGGTGGTTTTGTGTGGGAAAAATAACATCATCCTTTCTTGATTGAAAAGTCTTTCCTTTGATGGAGACAAAAAAAAAGAGGTTGGTGATTGTTTTAACACCACTTTTACTTACATTATCTCTAAGCAATTTGATACATATAGGAAGTACATGCACAAAGGAAAAAGCTTACTAAAGTAAGATTTTATTGGGGAGAGACAGAAGGCTGAAATTTAAGAGAAATGACAAAAAGAAACCAGAGAAATGCAAGCTGAGTCAATAATTGCCTAACTCGGCAATTCTATTTTGAAGAAAGAAACTGCTATGAAGCTTCTTCTGGCACCAGTTACCCAGTCAACATACAAATGCACTAACTCCAATCATTATGAAGGGAAAATTTTTAATGTTCTCAAAGCATATTCCAGATTTATGAACTCCTTTCAAATGTTGACGTGTGTGCAAAACTGTCTTTAAGTCAGTTTTGACACATGTATGGATATCTTCTGCAGGTCTCTTGGCAAGGTTTTCAGAAATGGTTTGTCATTGCTTTCTTCCTTAGGCTGAGAGAAGTGACTGGCCAAGAACACCCAGCTGGCTTCGTGCCTAAGGCAGAATTAGAACTCAGTTACTTTAACATGAAACTAACCACTATATCAAACTGGCTCTCATGCCTTCTTTTCAATCCAAAAACACCAATTTAATTAGGTTCTTTGAAAAGACCTGGCCTTTACTTAGTGCAGTCAATATAGGCTGTATTATCTAAATCTGACACTACACATAGTGTTTCAAAAGTTTTAACTTTTAGTACATCCTATATAGAACTATGGCTTCTTGGGGATCATCAAAAATCTCAAATTTCTTGTTCCGATTGAATTTGAATTTCCAACATTGGATATATCTGCTGGACATTCTGAGAATTATGCCTACACTTTTGGAAGACATTAAATTGGGGAAAAATACTAAAATAATTTGTCAGTGGTTATTGGAATAAATGCTTCCTTTTGAGTGACTACAGGAATGTAAAGAAAGCTGCTGGGAAAGGTTGAAAATGCTGATCTGTTATGTGCATCACAATTTCATTAATTTTTTTAGAAATGTCAAGTAAGTCAGAGAACATCAACAAAACACCTGTAGGCATTATATGATTCTTCCAAAAGGCATCTCTGGGATATTTTTTTTTAACTTGAAAAGAACAAAACAGCACAAAATAATGTTAATGTTTCTGCCTGAGATTTTGCAATACTTTGGTGAGAAATCCTGTAAGATATAGTGAGGGCTGAGATGTTAATTTAAAAAATAAAGTTAATTTTGGCACCATGCGCTATCCTATCAGATTACCAGATAATCCATATTTGTGGTTAGATCTCAATCCTGTGATTTAAGAGTAAACATTCACTTATATATTGTAGCATATGCAAATACAGTAACTTAGGCTTGGATCAAAATAGTAGAATTTTGAAAACTGAGAAGCAAACCTTATTTTTTGCAGTGCTATTGGTTGGCCTCCAAAGATAGATTAGCAGAAACAATATACAGTGATATTCTAAGTACAGGTAGTCCTTATGAGACTTATGACCATAATTGAGCCTGGAATTACAGTCCTAAATCATTGTGGACGTTACGTGGAACACAGTGGTGGGTTTCAAATTTTTTTTACTACCGATTCTGTGGGCGTGACTTGGTGGGCATGGCATGGCATGGCTTGGTGGGCATGGCAGGGGAAGGATATTGTAAAATCTCCATTCCCACCCCAATCCAAGGGAAGGTTACTGCAAAATCCCCATTTCCTCCCAATCAGCTGAGACTCGGGAGGCAGAGAATAGATGGGGACGGCTCCAGTCAGAGGTGGTATTTACTGGTTCTCTGAACTACTCAAAATTTCCACTACCGGTTCTCCAGAACTGGTCAAAACCTGCTGAAACCCACCTCTGGTAGAACACCACATAACCAGAACTGATTTTATGACATTTTTTGCAGTAGTCATTAAGTAAACCCCATAGTCAATGAGAAAATCCATTTTATCCAACGGGAAGTTTTTACCAAATGCTGGAATCTGGCAAAATGTTTTTCGGGGTGGGGGGTAAGGGTCTGTGGTAACTTCAAAGAGTTGCTAAGCAACTGATTGTAAGTCGAGGACTACCTGTGTGACACACAGCAGCAGGGAAATTATAAATTAAATTATAATTTTGTTTTCAGAATTGTTCAATAAATATTGAAATGGAGGAAGCCAACAATATAAATTGTGAGCAGCATCTACTGATCACAAGTTTAGAAGCTGCAAACAGCTACAGAGCACAGTCTTTATAGTTTCTTCCCTTAATAGATATTGTAGATATAGATACATAAGTACTTGGCTAGTTTTTGTGACTTAAAATATCACAAAATATATTATTAAATATATCAATTATGCTGACTATTTCAGTGGCCTTTTCTTTATCTCCCAAAATATTGGGGAGGGGGTTTGTTTGAGTGAACGTTCTCCACCACCATTTATTGTTGGTTTTTCAGTTCAGCATGACAGATAGGCCTTCCCATTAACCTCAGGATAATAGATTATCAAATAGTTTTATTTATTTAATTATCAAATTTATATGGCCACTCATAAGAAATTACTCTGGGCAGGCTTCAGAAAGAAAAAAAAAGTATAAAAACAATAAATAAATATGCAATGTAAATATTTACTAGGGAGAGAGAGAAAAGGGAAGCAGATCCAAGTAGGTGGTTAATCCTGTAGTACAGGACAGCCAGGAGGGTGATCAATCCCGACTGCTCAGTCCAGAATTTCTTGTGTTGTTCAAAGCAACCCTGAACAAGTTTATTTCCTTTCCATCTTGGCACATGACCCTTTCAGCTGACATGTACATTCCTCAGTCATTGTGGAGAAAGGGATTTCGGGATCTCTTTGTCCACGGACATAAAGACAAGCTTAAAAAAATGCCTCCCCCTCAGATGGCACTTTTCCAGTCACCATAGAAGGAATATCATTTTTATGGCAGCTCTAAAACCAGAGACAACCTATAAAGTTTGCCCTTTCAATTCTGGAGTTTCACTTCAGGCATTTTGTTTTCTTCAAGTTTCAAAGAAGCATTTGGGACAAGGTGCCGACAGTAGGCCAGGCCTACTTAATTCTTGAGGTGTGACATGGGTATGAGGAAAAGAGCCCAAAGGATTCTTCTAGAGATGATTACAGTTAACAACTTGTCTTGGCTGCACCCATGTTTATTTTTAACTCGGTCTTCGGTGACCTGCTTATTTCCTTGTCACTTCATTGGGGCTAGCCGGGGTGGGGACCGGGACAGAGGAAGTGGGGGTTGCATTCCAGCAATTAGATTTATTTGATTGCCAGCAAAAAAGAGTTTTTTGTGGGACTTTGTTCTGACCAGGCCAAGCAAATTTTCCTTCTCGTTTCTCACCCTCCACTATTTGGGAATAATGCAGGCTCTGCCACCCAGGAACAGCATCCTGGACAGTGGAAGCCAAGTCTACTCTCATCCATTGGTCAGTGTGTTGGCAGCATTTCCAAGACTTAAACCTCTCCTCCCTGTGAGCGTCCTTTGTGTGTGCGTGTGTGTGTATTGTGTTTCCTATTTTGTGTCTGTACTCAAGAGACTTAATCTTTAAGAAATCATAAAGTGTTAGATTCTCCAGAAGCTTAAAATAACATTTGCAGAGTTCGTAAAATGATTTCTACATCTGCACACCTTTCCTTTTCCTTTAACAAAAGCAAGCTTAAAAGTAGTTTTCATTTATTCAGCGGAGCCTAACATAAGCTGGCAGGAATATAAATAAATCAAAAGGATACTAAAGAGGCTTTTGGCAGCTAATGCTGTCCAAAGAAAGAGCCAAAAAAAGAATACATTAATTCAGCTCTACTTTTGCTTGTGCTAGCAATAAAGCACGTTCTGGTGCATACTGGCCCCCATGTGTTGGCAAGAAAAAACTTTGAAGGCGGCCATTAAGACTAGACTAGTAGCTTAAATAATTTTCTATCCCTTGCTCATTTACCTATTCAATTAGCAAATCTTAAGAAATTCCACTAAAAGTCTCCGATACATTATTTCTCTGTCTAACTATAGAACCATTATACTTCCACCTTACTGCTTCTTCCACATATCTGCAGGCAAGATATGGCGGTGTAGGAAGGTCAAATTTTAAGAATTAATTTTTACAAGAACAAGAAACTTACTTAAAACAAGGAAGATACATGTTTCCTCATTCCCAATAGGTTCTGGGTGACATCTAGCTAGTATCCCTGCAGCAGCAGCAGGAACATGTGGCAGACAATAAAATATTTTTGTTAATCATTTTCTATCCAGCAGTCTTTCACCCTGAAAAGTCCTTCTCTCCTGAAAAGTCCAACCACTACAATATGCTTTGCAGGGCAGGAAAAGTGTCATTGCAAAATGGGCTGTCGTCTTCCTGGTGCAATTTGAAAATGGTTTCTAAGAGCTTCAAGAGCATGATTGGTAATGTCCTGAATATGAACACAGATGAAATTTTCAAGTCGTGAAAGGTTTAATGTACTTTATTTTACTTCACCTACTGTTGTAAGAAGAAGGAAGGAAGGAAGGAAGGAAGGAGAGAGAAAGAAAGAAGAAAGGAAGGAAGGAAGGAAGGACGGAAGGAAGGAAGGGACTGTCCCAATGAATTGTGGAGTATAAGGGTACATGGCCCACCTGTCATATGGACTGAAAGGAAATGGCAAAATGATCCCCAAACTTCTTGTGCTTGTTTTGGAAGGATGCTGTTGTGTATGTCTCTGTTTCACCTACTTGAACATGTCGTGGAGGAAAGATAGGACGTAGCTTTATGTAACACTGGGAAAGTAATTGCTAAGACTTCTGTTGGGAAAAAATGTGAAAGGCATGCAAGCTGCTTTGAAAGTGCAAGTAATCAATATACTTCAATCACAGCATTCATATATGTAGATTCATAGCATGAAGCAACAATGTCAACAGATGCCAATAATGTCAACAGATACTTGTATTGTGTGTATTCTGTTGCTTTAGTGTCTAAACTGGGACAAAGATTTTTCAATATTTTGTTTCTGCATCTCGTACCATAGTGTTTCTTAAATTGTTTGACTCCTTTACCCATGTTCCCAATATTGAATATCTTGCAACAAATTTTCACATTTCGAATTTGATTTCTGATTAAGTTCTTTAGGATTTGCCTCTCTCCATCACACACTGCTTGATTATTTATGTATTTATTTATTTTTCATATTTGTATACCGCCCTACTCCCGAAGGACTCAGGGCGGTGAACAGCCATAATAAATACAAATACATATAGAAGTTAAAAACTATTAAGAAACAGATTAAGTAATTTAGGCTCAATTAAGTTCAAGATTACTTGAACTTTCCACATTTTTAGTTTTTTCACGGAGATTTTCTTTAGAGGCTTCTTTGGGTCATGCCCTATTTATCTGGAAAGAACAGGATCTTGTGGTAATACCTTTTCCAACTATTGCAAATGTTCTATCTGGAACCCCTTAAAGATAAACTGGAGGCTTCAATTAGTATAAAACATCATGGCTGAGCAGTTTAAATTCACTTTGTGGGTCCCACATTTGATTCCTATTACATTCTAAGAGCAAATTAAAGTGATGGTTTTAACTATAAAGTCCTTTACAGTTTGGCATCACCTGTAGGACTGCATCTCCTCAATAGAGTTGGCCCAACTACTTCAATATCAGAAACAGCTGACTTTAGGTCAGGGGGCCCAAAACCTGGAAATAGCTTTCTAGAATGACCTACCATTGAGTCATCTGCTTCCAAAGTTTTGTGGCCTGATGCTTGCACTATATTTGGGGTTTAATTATGTTTATATGTTTATATTTTATTGTATATTCATACTTTTGTGAACTACTGAGATCTTGTGATTATAGCAGGATACAAATTGAGGAATGGATGTCAATGTCCAAGGACATTTTAATGAAGATCTCAAGGTGACCGTATCAAAAAAAAGAAAATTTAACAATAGATGGCAGAACTCAATATGAAACAAAAAGATTTTAGAGTTTCAGGGAATACGACAATTACTTTACATATTGAAGTTTCTAATTGGTAGGATGCTTGCAATCTGTCCTCTTTAACACTTTCATCTACATCTTTCTTCCTCTACTTGTCTCCTCCCAGGTTAAATTTTACATTAAAATAGCTATGGTGTACTTCTGATGAAATTAACAGTCTACGAAAGCAATATGCCTTTCCAATAAAATGTGCTGTTAAGATATCTCATTTCTGGCTACCATAGATGTAATACAGCTTTCCTCCCACATTGTCTGGAAAGAGGCACTGATATTTCTTAGGTTTGTATCAGGATAATAATAACCATTATAAATCTTAATCTGATGACACATTCATAACCATGGGTAATAGAGGAATGGAGGATTTTATATTCTCCAATCTCTACATTTTAAAAAAAGATGTGTACAGGGGTGGGAATTACATTCTGGATAAGTTATTGCATTATTTTTTTTTTGTATGTACTGTGTAAACATTCTTTGGTGACCTAGTCAAGATTCATCTCATTTGTAGCAATTTATAATAAAAGAACTATCATCTTTTACAGAGTCTAAAGGAACTATCATATTACATAGAATCTATGTTGTACAATATATGTTTTATTTTGTAAACCAGTAGTTTTAATAAAGTGATTTGAGGAGTGTTTTGTTTGTGTGGGCTTGTTAAGCATATCATCACTCATTTACTATATACAAAGCATCCACATCCTATTTCCTGAAGCTCTGCTTTCTGGCCAAGACCACAGTTGAGGAGCATTTATTATTTACTATTTGAATGGAATTCCTAAAATTGTAGTGGAAAGTCCACATTTAGTTAATTGCATGTCAAGAATTTAATATATAAAAATTAAGTTTGACATCACTATTGGTTCTAGTCCTAAGGAGAAAAAAATAGGCTGAAATCCTACACATGCTGAGAATAAGTTTCTTTGAACTTGACAAGGTTTAACCAAGTAAAAATGATTACTGCTGAACTGTCAGATGCTGTAATTTTAAAGCATGACTGAAGAGAGTCAATTCTATTTTGCTGAGATGTACTTTAAACACAGATGGGTAAACAGCAACCTTAGAATAAGACAAAACTGGTAGGAAAGAGTAGATAAGCTTTTTCAAAATCGTTAGCAATAAGCATGCTGATTGATAAAAGTCACAAACAACATGTATAATTAAAGAGAATGTCTCTTTCTAATAAAGATTTAACCGCAGAAAAAAATGCAGGGAGTGAAACATAGCTCTTGGTCTTTCCTGCTGGAGAAGAACAATGCAGTTGAATTAGCAATTCAATAAAATTAGATTTCCTAAAAAAAAAGCTAGTATTTTGCTTGAAGAGCTGCTAATGCACAGTGTAAAACCAGCTCAACCATGGGAAGTCACAGATGAGTAAAAGAAAAGCTTCATTTTGGTGATCATCTGTAAAAATAGGAATAAGAATATTATTGGATTATACTGCTTCATTATATAAGCATGACATTCTTTATATGCTTCCTGTCTAAAAGCTGACTGCATAACGAAAGCAAGCAGGTGTGAGTGAAATAAATTAGTATAGGGTCAACTTCCTTCACACATTTTATAACCAGATTTGAGACTGCAAACTCTGTATTTGAAATGGATAAATTTAAAATAACATGTATCACATTATTCCCTCCCCCTATGCTTTAATGGATAATCTTTTGAGAATGAAGCAATTACATTCAGCTTGCAAAATCCCAGTAGTAAATGAATATGGAAAATGAAAAATATGAAATTAGATACTGAAAAAGAAAATACTGGAAATATTGTTTTAAGTCTTTTTATACAGCACTAAGGGCAACTTTTACAAGACAGGATGTTATTTTATCCATTTGCAATAATTTTTTCTCCTTTGAAAAGAATGAATTCTTAGGTAGAAAGATACATCTAAATAAGAAAAAATAAACTCTTGGTACGCTGGGATAACATATTCTAGTTTTAGAACACTCCCTTAATATCCTGTTCATGTGAGCTAGCAATCCCTTAGCAAGAAAATTAAAGAATACCACAAGGGAATATTAAATGTCATCTCTGCATCTGCTACCAGCAAATGTTTACCAGAGAGTCATACATTTTTCATGCTAAGTAACCTAAAACTTTTATAAGAATTCTTGACTGCTATTCTATCCAACATGAAAACTTATACAAGATATATGTATTATATATATATAGCCTTCCACTTGATATCATTGTCTAAACATTCATTCATATTCCTTTTAATGAACTGAACTGTGCCCTTGTGCCATTATAAAAATATACAGTAACTTTTAAGCAACAATGCAATCAAATGAATCTATTCAGAAGGCTTACTAATATTTAACAAACCTTTCTCCCAAATAAGCTTGTATAAGATTGCAAAAAAGGGAAGATGGAAGAGAGATGAAATCTGAAGGTATTAGAAAAAAAAACCCAGCCCAATGTTTTTAAATTTAAAATTATATTTTATAAATGTAAGTATGTATTCTACCATAGGTAAATTTTAAAATGAGAAGAAAAAAAAGAGCTCTAGAACAAATTTAATACCTGAATTTAGGTGCTCGTTTATCTCCAATGGACAAATTATTTTTAAAGACTGTTATTAAGAACAGATCTATATATCCCTAAACAATATCTATTACAAATACTCATGGTCATTTCAATTGTTTTCAATGTTTTATTAAAAAAATAAATCTTTTGTCAACATGTTTTATCAGCTTGCTGCATGAATGATCCTTTACCATAATATTAAGAGAGAAACATTGCATTCTTCACATCTTGAAAAGGAATACAAGCTCCAGGCCATTCTCAGGAACAGAACCAAACAAATAAAAACTAGGATAGGCCACAACCTATTAAAAACAAAAGCAAAATCTAATTTCATATAAATCCAAATATTGCAACAAATAATCTTGCACGAGAATGTGCATTTGCTATGTAAAATTTCCCTACAATGTGTTCAAGTAACACTAAAAAAAATATCAAAATAAGTAAATTACATTTGTTGTCAACCCCTTGTTTATTCTTGCTTCTCTTTTCTACTGCTACTTGGATAAATTTTAGACATAAACTGGAAAATGTAGAATAAATGTTTGTCTTTTTTTCTTAATACTAATTGATTTTACGTTAATTTGTAGGAACAAATAATCTCAATTCATTTGTTTTAATACTGATAGTGTCATGAGAGCCCTACTATTGTGCATCTATTAAAAATAATTTATGGAGGAGAACATGGAAAGCTTTGCCACTAAGTTACAATCCTATTATTGTTACAATGAAGTCTATAGCATTTAAACAAAGTAAATGCAGGGCAACAGACCAAAGCGATGTATTCTTCAGAATTTTTCTTTGGCAAAGCAATCTCTGATCCTGTACAAAATATGAGTATTGTGTAGGTGACATCAATATAATAATAGTAAAAATTGGGTGCAAATATAATACTTTCTACATAGAATGTTCTACTGTGAAGAGGGTGAAAAGGATTGTATGTTGCAATGGCAATATTGCCTGTTTCATCTACAATATTTTTCATTTATTACATCAAAAGCATCCTCCTTCCCAACAAGAAGAATTTCTTTTTAACAAAGGCATTATTCAACAAATATATTTGCAAAAGTGTTTCAGTTCCCTCATTTGAGGACAATATCTTGTGAGTATTTTTAAAATGTAGTAGAACCTAGTTGCTTCCTTTTGGATTTTTAGAGGTTGGTAGAAGAAGGCTACTGTCTTTATACACAATTTAAAAATCAAATTACATCATGGAAATAACGCCAACAAGATGACTTTGAATTATTAGAGACTTCTAGTTAAGTAAGAAGCAAGCAAGCAATGACGACTAGCAATATTTTGGTTTTTCTGTGCGTTACAAAAAATAGTACTCATACATTAAAAAAAGTTCAGATAGATAAAGCACATATGAATGCAACATTCAGAATTCTGGCAGAAAATTTAAGGTGGGCAATTTGCTGCTACATTTACCAAAAATACAATTTTATAATGAAAGGATTGTGAAAATACATTTAAACAACATTCAGAAACCACATAAAGTAATAAAGGAGGATCTAACAGAACTACTCAAGCCAACCTTTGAGACTTTATTAAATACTGCTTGAGTAAGACTTGCAATCAGAAAGCAGCATTTCCCAAGTACTTTTGAAGTTACTTCTCCGGGTATCTGAAACATTTGTTGCTGAATATTGTATTGCCTGCACTTGGATTTTAAATGAAACCACTCACCTTGGAAACACAATGCATTTAGACACATTTTTTTTTTTTTTGCACATTTCTGAAGCATCTTGTAATGGCAATTGTAAATTAAAATATGAATTTGATTACCTTTCTACGTAAGCATTCCCCATGCAATATAGAAGTCTTACTGGGAAATATTCAATGATAATTTTACTTAACACAGAAAAAGTTAACCAATTTATCCTATAAATATTTTATTTGTTTTGTGTCTAGAATTTGCTATTAAGTTCTATAAACAGAAACACATAACAAAGGTTTCCTAAGTAGTGAAAAACATAATTACAAAGGTTGAAAAAGTTGGCCTAATCAACATATATACAGATTATTCTACTTAATACATTGGGGGAATTGGATTTATACCCTCAACAGTAAGTTTACTTACTGATAATACTAGAAGTCCTTTGTTTTGGTAGAGACAAGTAAATTTCAGGATGTTTTTTTCCCCTTTTTTTAAAAAAATTGATGTATGGCTAACAAATGACAAAATATTCAGCTGCTGATAAATTCTGTTCTTTCCTGAAAATATTTCTCTGTTAGATTACTGTCTTTCTGCCCTTTCTTTTCTTTGTTTTGCTGTTCTTGTAGATTCAGGATTATGTTTTTTATTTCTTCTCGTTTTGTTTTCATTCTTGGACGTGGAAACCAGTCTGTTAGATTCATTGGTAGTTCAAAGCTTACAATAGGAGTCTAGGAGAAACCAAACAGATAGGTTTACAATAACGTCTACATGGAATTTCTACATAATAACGTTGTACAAACTACTACAACATTAGGAGTTAAAAATCTTGTCAATGTTACATTTGAAACTTTTCCCAATCTTTCATGCACATTTATAAAGTTTCAATGATGGCATCTTTCTGTGGATCCAGCTCTATCCCTCCTCGGCATTTCATAATAGTCTTACTCAACAGTCAAGACTATTAAGAAGTCTTCCCACACAGCTACAGCTAAAATAACATTTTCACACTTTTCTCCCTTTCTGGGAATTACCTTCCTACCCTTCTATGATCTTAATTCTAGAAAACAAACTTTTAAGTCACTCCACATCCCCAAACATGATTTGCCTTCTTTAGAAGCAATAGGCAAAGCATGAAACAAATAGAGACTGCATCTAATAATGCATCAGTTCTATTATTAAAAAATCACTATTAATAAACCAAAACTCTTTCACTGTCTGGTCAGACATTATTGTATTTATTTTATTCACAGTTTATACTGTGCTAATTATACATGTCTGCGTGTGTAATTTTAACAATTACTTGTCATTTTAAAACAATGTAAGATATAAAATATGTAAAGCGAATGAAATATTGAAACCAAATTAAATAACTTTTTTTTTAAAAAAAACCCTTTTTGTTAGAACAAAAATCCTAACATAACATTTCAATGACCAAGAAATTCACCTCAAAAAAGCTCTCCACATACTGTAAAACATAAACTCCACAATCACTGAAATTGTTCTGTTGCGGCACTTTGGGGTTTGAGCCTTTCATGACATCTTTGGAGAAACTTCGTCTGCTCCCTTTCCTTACTTCCCATTCCACTTCCAAATACCTGCAACACAAAAATCAAACAAGCATGAGAAGACCATTTTTACTGAGTATTTCAGTATGGAAGTGTTCTGACCCAGCTCCCCAAACACGACAAACCCTCTGACATGAACTCAAAAGATTCCTTTATTCGGAATCCCAGCAACCCAGGCAAAAGTTTATCTCGCAAGCTAACAAGTCTGTCTTTCTGGAAGATGAATAGTTGTCTGCCACATCTATTCATCTCCGCCCCCTGCCTTTTATCCCCAGAGCTAGAGTGGGGCCTCACTAGCTGTGGTGGCTCTTCCTTCCCCAGGATTGGCCCATGGCTTTCCACTGATCCCCTCTTCTTGGCCCTCTGTGCAGCCCCGCATCAGGCACTGGACCCAGCTGTTCCTCCTTTTCTTTATCAACCACCTCCAGACCTGGGGCTGTTGACTCACCATCTGAGGGCTGATGGATGGCCCAGGCTCCGCTTCTGTCTCTCTCTCTCTCTCTCTCTCTGCCAGCTCCATTCCCTCTTCCCCTTCAGAGCTCCCAGGTTGCCCTGATGCTGACCCTAACTCCACAGCTCCTCCTCCTCTGATTTGGCTGCTGGAGGGACCGGCAGACCACAGGCCACAACAGGAAGGTAGTTTAATATTATAGAGACTAATTACTTACTCCCTTAGTGTTCTGACAACATTTGACCGGGAAGGGCCTCTTAGTGAATCCATGAGCAGAATGCAAGGCCTAAAAAAGATACAGTATGTTTTCACTTCTTTGCTATACTGTCACATTAAATCATTTTGGTTACAGATATGAAGAACCCTTTTCTCTTCACATTATGAATAAAGTATGGTACTCAATTTTGTTTTCATCCAAATATGAAGTCTACAAAAATTGCATGGTGATCTATAACTAGATTTAGTCTTTGATTAAATTCAATATTGAGGAGGAACCTTCGTTATAAAAACAGGTCCAAATAGAACAAAAATGGGTTCCCCTAAAATAGCTCTGAAATACTACACATTTTTGGGACCTGTGATAGTTTAAAAACATTTTTTTAATTTGTTCAGTGATATTTGAACAAAATTAGAAAAAAAGCTACATTCTTCCCCCTAGATCAAGAGACTCTGTTACATCTTATGACTATTTATTAAGCTTTTCACGAAGGAAAAAAATAGTTGAATATTACGAGTCAGCCTGTATTCTATATAATATTTGAAAATTAATGCTTAGAACAGTACTGCAGACTGGGCTATGTATGTTTCAAAAACAATTCTTGTGGAAGTTTTGCAACACTGAAAAAAATAAATACATGGCTGTTTAACTGAGTTGCTTGATTAAAGTATATCTAATACAATTCTTTAAGTAGGAACATCTTTATTCAGACTTACAGGGAAACCTGTAAAAAAGATACAGGTATATCTTTTTATAGATACTACATAGCAGAGAGACACTGTTACTCAATAAAACACACATTCTGAGGCACTTCTTTAAGCCATTTTTAAAAATATGCACAGCTGTGAAATAATGAAATAATATAGACAAATTAATAAATTGTTTTTCCATATTATTCCAAGAATACAGATGCAATTTTAACTTGCAAATTATAGTACCTATATAATTTCACTAAATAGAATCTGGAAAAATAAGACTTCAGAAATATACTCTGTTCTACACCCAGTTGATCTATTCAAAACTTGAACAGCATTATTCTTCTTTTTTCAGTCAGGGAACTACTTGGATATAAAGAGGCAATTCTAATGATAATTAAAACTTCCTATTACAAAAAAAAATTAAGAAAACTGATTACAACATAAAAAACATTAAAGTGAGAGCCAGTTTGATGTAGTAGTTAAGGCATCAGGCTGGAAAACAGGAGACTGTAAGTTCTAGTCCCTGCTTAGACACAAGGCCAGCTGGGTCATCTTATGCAAATTGTTTTCTCAGTTCTAGGAAAAAAGCAATTGCAAACCTCTTCTGAAAAACCTTGCCAAGGAAACTGCAAAGACTTCTCCAGGCAGTCTTTGAGAATCAAACACAATTGAATGGAAGAAAAAAAAAAGCAACATAAATAGATTTGAGGTAAAATGTTGGGATATTTAAAGAATTTTCCCCTTTTCAAAGAAAAGATGGCATCTGATTTAATAATCCATGGATCAGTCATTCTTAAATGTCAGCCACGGAGCAAGATACTGAACAATCACCTCTCAGAATCAACTTGGGCCAAGGTCTAGTTTAAAGACATAATAGACTCACTCTAGTAGTCTCATGGTAAACATAATTCACGTTTTATCAAATAATAACCAATTATGTCTGTTTTTCTGAATTTAGCTCAATTTGATGAAGAACATATTTACAATGGACACAGCTAATCAAAGTTGTCAGATAACTTAGATTATTATTCCTCAGAAGACTACAATTGGATCCAGGCTTCTCTACTGAAGCACAAGATTTAGTGAAGGTTTTATTTATTTTATTTTATTTTATTTTATTTTATTTTATTATTTTATTTTATTTTTTTATTTTATTATTTTATTATTTTATTTTATTATTTTATTTATTTTATTTATTTTATTATTTTATTTTATTTTATTTTATTTTATTTTATTTTATTATTTTATTTTATTTTATTTTATTTTATTTTATTTTATTTTTATACCGCCCTTCTCCCGAAGGACTCAGGGCGGTGAACAGCCATGATTAAAATACATACAATATGAAAATTAAAATAGTTTAAAAAATAATTAAATCAATTTGACTTCCCCAATTTAAAACCCCTTACCCATAAAATTAACCCATTAAAAATTTTCTGTCAACAAAACCAGACCGTTTTTGCCCGTTAAGTCAAGGACTACCCATAATACAAAAGTAAATTAGAAAGAATTTTTAAAATGACAAACAGTTTGGGAGCAAATTTTTTAATGGTTTTCAAGATGGCATTTCATCTTTATAGCTTATATGAAGATGTATACAAGTTATAAATATCTTACTTTAGAACTTACTGTTTGCATATCGTCGGCTTTAGATGCCATTGTCCTAATTCTGAATTACAGTTATCATCAGCAAGACCATCATCATCGCTACTATTCTCCTAGAAAAAAAAAATATTTTAATATAATGTCTGAAATCAGAGTTTTGAGAAAAATAGGGATCTACTACATGATCTGAAGTACATAAGCACAAATTCAGTTTCCCCAAACTTTATCAACAGTAGCAATTAAATGTTGAACTATTCTACCTTCCAAATATACCTTTGAGATTTAAAAAGTTTGGGGTAATCAGAAATGGATATATATGTAAAAGCACAGTAATCTCCATTTACTTCTGATACTTTATTCAAAACAAATTTCTGAATTCATTTACCGTATTTCATTCTATGTCTTTTGCATCTGCTGTGGGAGAAGAATCTCAAGTTGCTAATACAAATAAAGTAGATTCTGCAAGCTTGGTATCTGCTTACTCTCCATTTCTCAAAAAGCTACATTGCAGCATTATTAAACAGTATAAAAGTAGCCCAGCATATTTATCATCTTCTAACTTTTCTTAATGCTATTAATAATTGTAACATAACAGTCATCAAAAATTGACCAGTCTTTAATTTCCATAATGAATTTTTTACCATGGAAATAATTATTTCATTAATAGAAACAGCTATTTTTAAAAAATGTTTTCGCTTTTTGATGTTAAAAAAAAAAAAAAGCCAAAAGTTCATTTAAGGTATTCAAACACTCTGCTGAAATGCCATCTCCCAATACACATAGGATTCTACCAAGTAATTTAAAGAAGTCTTTGGGGACATATCAGTTTATACATCGAAAACTAATCCTGGAATCAGTGTTTATCAAAATGCATATTTCTTCTTATACATGATTAAACTCTAATTTAAAAATTATATCATAGTACAGCATTAACTTTACAATCCTGTAAAATCTTAAAGACACCTCTTTCACTCTTTTTCAGCAGTTAGAAGGCATGCATGCAACTCCACAGCCACTTCATATTTTTTCCCCATTCGCCCAATTTGAGTGGCAAAAAGCATCTGAATTAGCCCTCTTGTCTTTGGCTCATACAAATATCAATTATTTCTTTTAATTATTTGGACTTGGAGGATACCCAATTTGAAAACAATTCTGGGTGGCTTACATCTATCGTTTGGAGGTACACATAAATATGATTATTATAAAATACTTCTTGCACCAACTCAAAAATTGATTTCTTCCTTTCAGAAGACTTGACTCTTTCTAATTAAAACACTGGATATAACTCAACATTGCACACTAATTTCATCAGTCAGCTCATTTGGTTGTAGAAATTAACATGATCAATGTAATACAGAACAGCAGGGACACGGATTGTCTTGAAACAATCCAACTATGAAATTGATGGTTTGAGAGGTGGAGGAATCAAGTGTGAAACCAAATTTGCTGTTTTCGTCCAAGCATGAAACAAAACGTGGCTGCTTTGAATCATATTATTAGGAATGTCCCAATGGCTATTTCATGATTTATGACTGAGTTGCCCTTTATCAGTCAGTTTCCAGTCTAGCCAGGACCTAGACTGTTAGGTCCTAGTTAATTGCTATTAATTTAGATTGGTTCAGATGATGCTGGGGAAAAATTACTGGGAGGAAAGTAGATGGTTGCAGCTATATGCCTCATAAAAACTGAATCAGACTAACTTTTGTTGCTTTGGGGAAAATAGCATTCATTTGCTAAGTATTTTCTGGTGGCTTGGGATAGTTTTTTTGAGCTTTGGGTGTGAGTACATGCTGGGCATATTTGTTCTCTTATAAAGATTAAACAAATAAAAGGCTGCTGCTGTTGTTTGACAGCATGAATAACATTATTTATGCAATCCAAAAAGCAGTGGCAGACTTTTATTCGATTCTTTTGTTGCTACCAGCTACATCTATGTGTTAACAAAAGTATCAGCATAGAAAAAAAAGTTGATTTATTGAATAAATAATCCAAAAAAGCCAAAAGAAAACTTGATCAAGATGAGATGTTTTCCCATTGTTTCTTTTATTTTATTCTTTTATTTATTTGTTTAAAATCAAGCCCTACACCAAATATGTTATTGATTAATATTCAGCATGGACTACCACTACTCTTGTGAACCTAGAGTAAAAAGAATTAGGAGCAAATAGCTGCACATCCCTGTTTATCAAGGTCACAACTTCCAAAATGTTTTGAATTCTGTTCCGAAGAAAATAGAAAACAGAGGCTACTACAGATTTTTTTTCATTAGAATATTATTAACGCAAAATCTTCTCTCAAAACATTATGCCCCAAGCTTAAATCAAAAACATTTTTTTAAATTTTGTGCACATCCTTGAAACATAGCCTAATACTAAAAACCTGTGCATAATGAAGAGCATAAGATCACATAGAAAAGCAACCATATTTAAGCCTTTTGTTGTTGTTTGCCAACTGAAAAAAACTGATGATCTAGATGACTTTAAAAACTCAATTTCCAGGCTACAGATGCAATTATAGGTGGAGCTGGCCTTCTGCTTACATTTGTATAAGATGGTAGCTGGATTTTATTTTACTGGATTAATTTTTCCTTAAAAGATCTGATGTTTCAAACTACAAGGACTTGAAATTTTTATTATCAAACTAGCTATTAGTGAATTTCATTTTAAAAAGTACATGATTTAACAAACTAAAAGTCAAACAATTATGATTTTCTATCCAGGATATTGAAGCACTTTTTGACTTCAATTGTGAGCTTCCAGACTAAACTCTTTGATATTTAAAACAATTAATATTGAAACAAAAGTTGACTTCTTAACCACTTTAAACTAAAAGGGTCAAAGCAGATGGTGGTATAATACATTTTGATTTGTAGACTTTGGTAATGCAGAATGAAACTTCGTACAATTACTGAAACATTTTTTATAAAGCAAACCAAGCTGTGAGAAAGACAACTGAGAAAATGAATTCTAATTCCTTACAACTAAATTCCTTTTCCAAATACTTAATTTAAGCATACAACAGCAGACTACAGCCAAATCCAAGAAGCCTTTGGGCTGTTACTGCCACTATCTTGTACATTATTATAATTATTCCTGCAGATAAAACTGAGCAGCTGAGATATCTATGAACACGTAACATTGCAGTAAGGCATCATTACATAACTATTAGGAAGAAAAAAAATGTAAATTCAAATACTTAAAAAAGGTGGTTAATTTTGCAGTAATTCTCTGGTTAGCAATATGGTTGACAAACTGTAAATGGTGAACAGAGTTTAGCCAAAGGTAACATCTGCTTTCTGGCTGCGCTTGGGAAATATATGCAAAAGTCACTGCTATGTTTCCTGAGAAAATACCAAACCAAAGAAATCTGAGATACTTGCTGTCTTTCTGCAGATCCACACCATACTGCCTATACTTCCTCCCTCTTTGCTGTATAGAATATGCCTAGACCCTATATTGTGGAGGCTTCCTCAAAGAACAAGAAGCAGAAATTTCCTTTTCTTTGTATCTTTGTGAAAACTGACATGAGTAAGGCAGTTGCTACCCAAGAGTAACAGTCAGTTGCCTACATGAATGAAAAAAAATCGTATCTAGCCAACTTGAAGAAATGTAATAAAATCAAACCTTACAAGTAATCCTAACTTTCTCTTAACAACAATAACTGTGTAGTAGTCTGTCTTTATGGAAGTACAGTACTTTTTGTGATCAGGAAAATAGGTAAAGCTTGCCTTCTAGTGGATAGTAGTGGGAATATCATTATGAAAGTGCCATCCAGAGAAGAGATTAGAGAATGTAATATTTTTAATGAATATATAGCAGAGATAGAGTAAAAAAAAATCTAAGCATGCTTGCATGTGCTTGTGTGCATGCACACACACAAAACCCTTACATTTCCACCAATGAACTATATAAAACAAAATGCAACACAATATCAATTGTTATCTTCCTACTTTATTTTAAAACAGTGATCAAAGAACTTCCGTCTGTTTGCTAATTTAGAGCTTGTTTTACCATGGTTTATTGCAGTGTTTCCCAAACTTGGGAACTTTAAGAAGTGTGGACTTCAACTCCCAGAATTCCCCATCCAGCATGGCTGGCTGTGGGATTTTGGGAGTTGAAGTCCATACATCTTGAAGTTCCCAAGTTTGGGAAACACTGGTTTATTGAGTAACTCATTACAGATAGTCCTTGACACATTAATACTTCAGTCCCAATTGGGGACTGAAGTATCAGTCCCCAATTGGGACTGATACTTCAGTCACTAAGTGATGGGGCTGTCAAGCAAATCGTGGCCGATTTCATGACTTTTTGGGGGGCATGGTCATTAAGTGAATCAAATGGTCATTAAGCAAATCCGGCTTCCCCATTGACTTTACTTGTTGGAAGTCCCTTAGGAAGGTTGCAAATGGGACACTGCAACAATTAATCAGTGGAACAACTTGCCTCCAGAACTTGACTAACACTCACTAATAACAAAGGCTTTTAAATACATTATGTTGATATTGAAAAGTCATACAGGCCCAGAAGATCAACCTACTTTAAATTCAGATCTCTTTGCCTAATCTCTCTCTCTCTCTCTCTCTCTCTCTCTCTCTCTCTCTCTCTCTCTGTGGTCTCAGTCTCGGTCTTCTCTTTCTCCCTCCCTCAGATCAAAGGTTAAATCCTAGGCTTTTTTCTCCTGCCTTTTCAAAACAATGCATTCTTAATAATTTCTCCCATCTTTGTACACTGACATCTATTCTGTATTTACACAACTGTTCCATGTAAACTTGGTTCCTGCCTTCAATCTATAAAGTTTCCCAATGACAAACTACGGAAAAAGATTATTTACCACTACCTAATATGTCTATATACAACACAATAACTCCAAACCAAGCTCACCATTTTATGGCCTAGCAATGTATTTGAACCCAGCCTGCAAGCTTGTTTAACGTCCTGGTGTACATCTCTCAAATTCACAAACTGAAATCATCTCAACCTTACCTATGCCACAACAAACAATATTTTAAAATACAATCATTTTAACAAGCTGTTGAAATAATGATTACTACACGCATTCTACTTGTACCGTATTATACTCATTTCTACTTGTTTTCACTGTTTTTAAAACATTGTTGGAAAAGCTTATTCTGTATACAAAAATAACAGTTACCTAACCACGTTGTTTTAGATGCTTTACCTGGTTATCTTGGTCTTCTGAAAAATCTATGAGCTCATCTTCATTTAGTTTATTGCTGTCAGCAGATTTTTCGCTACAGTTTAGCCTGATTTTCTGTAAACCATCTGTATTAATCATGAAGATTAACGAAACAATATAAAGAAAAGAACATAAAGAAACATTATCATAACTAGGCCAAAAAGGTTAAATCTCCAAAGGAATAGTGCGTACTTTTTTTAACATAAATCATTCTTCTTAAAAACGATTTAGCTTTGTTTGACAAATTTAAACTTCCTCATTAACCATTACCATCAGCAACCTTACTCATAACTATTGGGAACCTGGATTCTTGCAATTTATGGCAATTAACACCCAGGTAAGTGGCTACCAGGCTGCAGCTTCAATTATAAATTCCAACCTTAATGTTCTAGATTTCAAGAAAACAAATTCTCAAAAAAGAAGAATTATTATTACTACTAGCTATATTAAATGGAGAGAACAGCACAGAATTCCATACTTTTCAGAGTATAAGACACACACCCTCCCCCCAAAAAAGTGGGTGAAATGTCTGTGCGTCTTATACAGAGAATTTTGCTGAAGCCCCACCCACCCGCTGGCCCCCACCTGCCAGCCTCTGCCTCCCACTAATTTACTTCCTTGCAGCAAACAGTGTGGTCAGCTTCAGCACAGCCTGATTTAGCACGAGCAGCTGATTGGCGGTTGGATCGGCCTATCAGCTGTTCCAGGTTGTGGGGATAGTAGTGGCAGTGATCCCTGCTGCCCAGAATGGGCTGAAAATAGGGCACGCAGAGGTCAAAAATGGGGCACGCGGAGGCAGTGATAGGTGACAGCGCCGATCAGCAGCAGCAATCCCCGCAGCCTGGAACAGCTGATAGGAGGTATTCTGGGAGGCAGATCCAACCGCCAATCAGCTGTTCATGCTAAATCAGGCTGTGCTGAAACTGACCATGCTGTTTGCTATAAGGAGGCAAATTTCTGGGAGGCAGAGGCAGATTTTTTTTTTCTTGCTTTCCTCCCCAAAAGCTAGATGTGTCTTATACTGTGGAGCGTCTTATAGTCCGAAAAATACGGAAGTTCAATATGTGAAAGATCACAGCAGCGGCCCATCTTCTTGTGAAAAGAATTCTGATTATTCACTGTGAGAAAATTTTCCATGTATTCCATATGAACAAATATACTTTTTATTGACAGGCACCAGAAATGGTTTGACTGTTTATAACTCTTATTACCTATAATGCGAAAACTGGAAAACACATTTGGCCTATACAAGTCCTACTTGTGTCTACAAGCCTCCACATCACACTAGACACACCTAAGCCCCAAAGAGGTTATATCAAGATCATGTTTATATATTGATCAAGACTAAGTAGCTTTTACTTTTCTTCCATATGTTACCATATATTTTATTATACATTGCAATGAAACAGACTAACAAATTAAGGTTCCATACATGTTTGGCAGTCAGCAAGTTGGTCAGGATTTTAGACCCTCTCTCTTCCTGATACATTAAGAAAACTGATTGTCCCTCTAAATAAATCCTAATAAAACCCTATATACATATAGTTATCTGCAATGCTATTTTGTGAACTTTTATCAATTTATACGATTCCGGACAGAATCTGGACAGAAGTCATACATGATGCAATGACTTCCTGACTCTTAGAAAGCAGGTCTATTCCCTTATGGCCAAGGTAACAGAACTGGAGAAGTTGGGAAAGATGGGAGAGATTGGTGACAAAAGTCACTGGGAGGAACGGTACTATCCCATCCCATAAAATATCTCTATAATCATAAAGAACATGGCTCTTAAAACAGGAAGATGACACTCCAAGGAAGCCTGAAGCAACTGGGAACCCCGAAGCAAGTAGACAATTTACCTAAAAAACAGCAGTTACATTTACTGCAAAAAAAAACTAAAAAAAGAGATTGATTTTAAAAAAAGTCACGTCATATGGGTGGTCATATATACTTTTTTTTAAAAAAAATGAATAGATCAAAGCAAAAGTCAAAAAGGCCAATTCTTTTCACAATCACTTGAAGTTATTCAAAATTCTTAAGAGAAACTGAGGTAAAATGCAGACCTCAAATTAAGAATAGATTCTAACACATCTTGGATATTGATATCCTTACTGTACAAAAATTCAATATACTTCTTCCTTCTTTGTTGATCTTGTTTGAATAAGTTACTATCTATTCAGATCAGAAAAATATCACAAGTCTAGAATAATGCTACAATAGCTTATGAGCAATTCAGAGATCTTTTAAAAGACCTTCAAAAAAACAGAAAATGTTGCTAAAATGAGGAAAGGCAAATAATATGCAAAGAGCTGATAAAGAATGCAAAATACACAAAACAAAACCCTTGTACATGACAAATAAAATTAAGTTAACAATGAAAAGTTGAAATGCATTTGGACAAGGAAATTGAACATGGAGGCCACTGGATGTCAAAAAGTATTAAAGATATACTAAAGGAAGATAGGGAAATAGTAAGAAAACTGAATTTTCTGTTACTAAGGACAAAGAACAGATTTTTCAGAAGAAAGATCAGATGAAAGGGGTATTAAGAATTCCTATGAACAATTCTATGAAAATATCCATCCAATGTGCTACAATAAAAATGGTAAACTGAATACTTAAAATTATTAGAAGGAAAATGAAAATAAAACAGGTGATCTTATACAAATCTATTGTGAGATTGCACTTGGAGCAGTCTTTGAGGCTTAAGAAAGATATTTCAGAGCTAGAAAAGATGCAACAAGGCAATCAAGAAATTTAGGCAGTTAGAACAGCTCTGTTGTGAAAAAAGATTGCAGCAATAGGGTCTTATTTAGCCTGGAACAAAAAAGGATATAAAATAGTTGTTAGTCATATAAAAGTATGCATAACATAGGTAACACAGAAAGAGAGAAAATTTGTTTCTCACTCAATACTGGAACTTCAAATCATCCATTGAAGTTAAATGCAAGGAAATTTGGAACAACAGAAGAACACTCATTTATATACAGCCCATAGTGAAACTTATGGGATTTACTGCTAGCAGTTGAAATACTGTTAAGCACTTTGGATGTTTTTAAAAGGGGACCGAATCAATTCATTGAAAATCAGATGATCAGTAACTAGTAATGCTGACAACTATTTGCTGCTTCTTAAATCATAGGCAGTATTTTTTAAATACTAGTTGATGGGGAGCAACAGTCCTTAAACGTAAGGTGCATCCAGATGGCCACTTTGTGATATAGAATGATGGACTAAATATTTAATTCACAGCTGGTTTTCTAAGCATTCTCAGATGGAGGATGTCTTCTCAATCATTCTTGGAAGCTTTCAAGAAAGCTTTGGATCTTCTGTACCTAGAATCCAACATGAGATCGACCTGAACATTGCTTAGAAAGGTAACCTAAAATAATTTTAAATATATAAAATTAAATAACATAAATATATTAAAAATATATCTACCTGTACAAAAACAAAATGTTTCAATAATTTCTGACTTAAGCACACTTCAACATTAAAGTGGTTTGTTCATGAAATGCAATTATGTATACATACCCATAAATGCCTACCACACTTTTCTCCCCCCTAAAAGAGGATGGAAACGTTGGTGCATTTTATACACGGAATACAGCCATTTTTGGCCTCCCGAAGACCCGCCCCGCGCATCCCGTTTTTGCGAAAAACAGCCCCCTTTTTTTTGCAAAAACAGGGCACGCAGAGGCTTTGGGACACCTGCAGAGTGCTCCTATGGGCTGGGGAGGGCAAAAAACTTTTTTTTTCTTGCTTACCTCTTTGAAATCTTGGTGCGTCTTATACACCAAGTTGGTGTATCTTATAGTCGGTGCGTCTTATAGTCCAAAAAATATGGTAATTATGCTCTAAATTACAGTTGATCAATCTGTTCCTAAAGTACAACATTTTTGTACTTTTTAAAATTCCTGATACTAAAAAAAAATTGAATAGACAAGACTACATACCATTAGCTTGGATATGAATTTTATGTTCATTTTGCATTCCATTTGCCTCTGAAGTTTTCAGATCATGTTTAGGACATATGGATTCCATAGTCCTGAATTCTTCTACAGTGTTCAAATGATTTAATTTTTTAAAGCCACTTTTCTCAGAAGAGTTTCTTTTGCAGTATAATGGTTCACTCTCCTCCGAATCTGTGTTTGTGTCAGTTAATTCTGCAATATGTTTCTTGCTGAACAATTTCCTTGTTAGAGGGGACTGCTGTAATAGATCCATTTCAGCGCATACAGGAGATGAAGCACTTCTATCTTGATCTAAAGAAGAAGACTTAACCTGTATAGATACATTTTCCTGATAATATGGGTTAGCTTCATATATTGGTTTCTCTAAACCTGGAAAACAGATGACAGCCAAGAACCAGTGGGCACTGCAAGTGAAAAAGAACAACAAAGGAATTTAAAAGGTAGCTTCATAACATGTTCTAACAGTATCCAATACATTTTCACAATGCTACCCTACCTCTTCTTCCTGATATGCTATATTTCAACACATCAAGCAAAAAACCACCTGCTCATCTGTCTTGCTCTAACTTTAGAACTAAAATGGGAGGCCAGCAAATAAGGCCTGCCCATTCAGAGATATTTTGTTATCTAATCATGAATCAGTCCCCAAGAATAGATTTAGAGCATATATCTTATTTAATTTCTTCCTGTTAAGAGCTGGAAGAGAAAGGAATATGGTTTACTTCTTGCCACAAAGATGTTAAGAACAGCTGTCAGGTATATTGAGGCATGTCACTGTAACTCATTCTATCCCCCTCAAGTTTGAAGTGGAAAAGAGCAGGAAAAATCTTTGGTTTTTTTTCTGTACAAAGTGGGATGCTGCTTCACAAGTTCCTCAAGAGCAATGAACACTATGGTTTTAGAGATTATCTGTGAGATATAACAATCAGTGTGTGTATTAAAGAATTCCCTTTTTGTATGTGAAAAAAGAGAAGGGGAAGCCTGTGAACGCTCAGAGCAAAGAGTGGCAAACCAAAAGGCAAAATCTCAAAAGATCTAGAGCTTTTGAGGATCTCTCCATCATAGGTCCCAGTGGCATACATACCATATTACACCAGAATGTATATGTTTGGTTCTGAACACAACTACTGTGATTTGTAAACTATGTTTTATAATTTGCCTGTCAGAGTTTTGGCAGCGTAACTAGTATGAGATAAACCCAGGAGCAAAACACAGCACACCGAGCTTTTAGATAATTAACAGTGGTTTTATCTAGAGCTAAATATATACAGACTTATACGTGGTAAATACCTTATCATACAGCTACTGACACAAGGAGAGCAATAAGATACACGATGAGAGAAAACAGGAGAAGGAAATGCCTTCTAATGGCTTCCCTTATATAGGCAGCTTCTTACCTAGTTTCTTAAAGTAGCAGTAACCCTGCTGCCTCATTCCCATTGCATCAGCTTTCAATTGCCTCCACTTACAATCTTCCATCAGCTTACAGCTATTAAATCTACATACTCTGACATTGCCTTACACATAAATTATATAAATGTATGTATGTTTTTAGTTATTTTCATTATTATGCTCAATAAGTAATTACTGTTAAAAGAAATAATATACAATGTGTGGATTCTACCAAAATAAATGAAATTCCAATGCTCTACACATTATTCTACTTACGCTTCATTAAGAGGAACAAAAATAAAATCTTTTTCAAAGATATCAACATGTCGTGTCCATGTTTTTACTCGACCATGCCGTTTCTGCTGAATTCTGTGAATAAATTAACAGGAAATGAAATGTGTTTATAATTTTTCAGAAGATATTTAGGAAATATCTTCTGAAAATACGAAAAACCGTATTTTTCGGAGTATAAGATGCACCTTAGTTTTTGGGGAGGAAAATAAGAAAAAAGCTGACTGGCAGTGGATCGGCCTCCCAGAATACCCCCAATCAGCTGTTCCCAGAGGTGAATTTTAGGTTCCTTGGTTGTGAGCTCTGTGCCTTGCTTTTTTTTCTGCCTCTGAAACTTCTGAAACTCTGTTTCAGAAAAAACTTTCTTTTCTGCCTCTGAAAGCCTCCGAAACAGAGCTTCAGAAAAAAAAAGCCTCTGAAGCTCTGTTTGGGGGCTTCTTTTCTAAAGCTCTGTTTGGAGGCTTTTTTTCTGAAGCTCTGTTTGGGGGCTTCTTTCTGAAGCTTCATTTCTGATGCTTTTTTCAGCCTCTGAAACCTCCATTTAAGAAGCTGGGTGGGACTACATTTGGAGTATAAGATGCACCCAGATTTCACCCTCGTTTTGGAGGAAAAAAGGTGCATCTTATACTCCGAAAATACGGTAGGTATTATTTTTCTATCTATAATGATAATTTATTAATTACTATATTTTAATAGTATCCATACTTCAAAAAGGGTCATTTTGCAGTATAATTAGATATGAAAGTTGAAAATAATTGTCAAAGTAGCATGCTAGCTATAGTATATGATTGGTATTCTTCATTTATCGATAGATACAGTGATGGGATTCAGCTGGTTCTGGGCGGTTCAGGTGAACCGGTAGGAAAAATTCTGACTGGCCATGCCCACCCCACCCAGTCACTCGTCATCTTGCCCGCTTCGCCCAGCATAGCTGCTGCTGCTGCTGGCTGGCTGCTTGCCTCGACCACACTGTCTCTGCGGGCCGGCCAGCTTGCCTGCCTTCGCCCCAGCCTCCCACACGGCCCAGATCCCTGCTGAGCCTTCCTTTGTCATTCTCCGCTGCCTCCAACATGGCCCAGCTACCTGCCTGTCTGGTGAGCCTTCCTTCACCTCTTTGCCGGTGCAAACGGTCTGTTACAGGGCCTTCCTAGGACTCCCCCGGCCTGTTACAGGCCGAAATGAAGAGTTCCTGGGGCCGCCCTTCCCACCCCATTTCCTATGGCTTTACTGTATTTACTTTTCAAAGAGCTGCAGAAGAGACTGAGTCACATGGCAGAGAAGCCAAAGTATTTTATTCAGATGATGGTGAAGCTGTAAGAATGTGAGATGTAAGGAAAACAGCTTTTCCCAACTGAATAAAAGTCTGGCTTCTCTGCCATGAGGGCCTGAAGCAGGGGTGAAATGCTCCCGGTTCGGACCGAATCGCCCGATCCAGTAGCGATGGTGGCGGGTAGTTCGGAGAACCGGTAGCAAAAATCCCTGCCCCCCCATGCCCAGCTGAACTGCGCGATCATCAGAGGTTGTTTTTTTTACTTTTAAAAGCATTTTTTCTACAGCCTCTTTGGCTGAAGAGGTTGTAGAAAAAAGAATGCCTTTAAAAGCCTCTGGCGATCCCAGCTGAGTTGCCTGATTGTCAGAGGCTTCTAAAAGTATTTTTTTCTGCAATCTCTTCAGCCGAAGTGGTTGTAGAAATATGCTTTTAAAAGTAAAAAGTTAAAAAAAAAAAGTTGACCACGCCCACCCAGTCACATTACTCACCACCACCACCAAGCCACACCCACAGAACCAGTAGTAACTAATTTTAGATTTCACCCCTGGCCTGAAGGCTTAGTTTTTCCCAGTCTGGTCAGGCTTAGTTTGGGTCCAGACTGCTTGCTGGTGACTGGCTAGTTTGAATGAGCAGCTTCAGGGATTGGAGCTTGGCAGCCAATCAACAAGGGCCTTGCATTAGCCCCATTACCAAACAAGGTAATAGAAGGGAGTGGAGTTTGCTCTTATTTTCATATACTGTACTAGTGGCTTTTCCCTGTCAGTGTTGATCAGTTGCTTCACAAACAGTGTTTTGATTGGTGTCAGGTCTCTACAGCCTCAGGCAGAGAAGGGCTATTCTGCACCCCTCCCTCAAATGTTCTTTAAAATACGGTTTCCCAGCATTCCTTTAGGAACCTGAAACATGCAAACTGTGGTTACTCATCCTAAAATGAATCCTCTTTATCTGGAACTTCAAAAATTGCTGTTTGCTAGGAAGATGTACAGGTAAAAGTTTACTGTACATCTGATTTTGGGGATATTTCTTCATAACCAAACAAAAGTGTATTTTCTGTGCAGTTCACACCCCTTGCTCACTGGGTCTGGATGTCACAAAGCAAAGTCCACATTTTGTAATTAACCCCCGCGCCCCGTTTTGACTGGCAGAGTGCTGCAGGAGGCTGAGTTTTGTCACGCCCCCTGCCCAGCCAGTCATTAGGGCATAGAACTGGTTGTTAAAAAATTTGCAGCCCACCTCTGCTCCAAGGTACCTTCTGGTTCTAAAGTCTCCAAAACAAGGGAATTTGCTTAAATTGTGTGTGTGTGGGTGTATGTCTCAGGAATAATGGAATAACAGAGTTGCAAGGGACTTCTGAAGTCTTCTAGTCCTACCCTCTGCTTAGCAGAAAAACGGATGATGCCAAAATCTGAGTGGAGGGCCTGGGAAAGGTGTCAGAATAACAGAATAACACTTAGAAGGGACTTTGGGGGGGACCCTATACCATTTCAGAGAAATGGCTGTCCAGACTTTTCTTAAAAACTTCCAGTGATCAAGCACCCAGAATGTCTGGAGACAAGTAGTTCCACTGGTTAATTGTTCTCACTGTTAGGAAGTTTCTCCTTAGTTTTAGGTTGCTTCTCTCTTTGTTCAGTTTCCATCTATTGCTTCTTTGGAAAATATATTGCCCCCCTTCTGTGTAGCAGCCCCTCAAAAGCCTGCCTATCACACTCTTGGGCAAAGTATGTGAGCCATTTCCTCCTTTCAGTGGTCTATGAAAGTACATCTATAGTATGTAGATGCAGATAATAAAATCAAAAAAAGGTGAACAACATTTTTACAGAACTATAGATACGTTGAGGCTCGGCGTGACAAGGAGTGGCTGGGAGGGAAGGGGCCGGGCGAGGCACCCCTCGATGTGAGTGATGTCAAGTTGGCCATCCCCACCAGTCAAAGCCCACCCAGTCATGCCCACCCAATCACATGACTACCAAGCTACACCCACAGAACCGGTAGTAAAGAAATTTGAATCCCATCACTGGATAGATATGTTCATTTTTATACTACTCAATTAAAGTAAATAAATCATCAGACGCTGTATAATGATCTGTTACAATCTAGTTTAGCATTTTATATATAAACGTCAAGAACCTGAAGTCCTTCAGTTTTTCTCAGCTCAATCAAGACTTGCACCTGTCTGCAATCATGTGCAACTGATTGATTGATTAATATTCCATCTTCCATACAGGAACTCATATTAGCACATTTGTCTAATCTAGAATCCCCTAGATGTTATTGGATCCCAACATCAAATCAAAAATATATTAAATTGTATGAATTGGCTTTACATAAACAACTACAGGTAATCTTTGACTTACAACAGTTCATTTAGTGACCGTTCGAACTTACGACAACACTGAAAAAAGTGACTCATGACTATTTTTCACACTTATAACCATTTTAGCGACCCCATGGTCATGTGATCAAAATTCAGATGCTTGGCAACTGGTTCATATTTACGAAGGTTGCAGTGTCCCATGTGTGTGTGTGTGTGTGTGTGTGTGTGTGTGTGTGTCATGTGATCACCTTTTGCGACCTTCTGACAATCAAAGGCAATGGGGAAGCCAGATTCAGTTAATCCAGATTCAATAATTCATTGTTACTAGCAATTGCAGTGATTCACTTAACTGTGGCAAGAAAGGTTGTAAAATAGAGCAAAAGTCACTTAACAAATGTCTCATTTAACAACAGAAATTTTGGGCTCAATTGTGGTCGTAAGTTGAGGACCACCTGTTTTTGTTAGACAAAATTTGATTTTACAAACATCTTTCAGCTAGACTTACGTGAGCTTTGAAGTTTCTTGAAGGTTCCTTCTCTCTCTTTGATTAAGGCGTTTGTAAAAAAAGGAACTGAACACATGAATCCTATCTGCATCTTCTTTTTTTAACCTTTCTAGCACCAGATACCTTTATTTTGAAATAGAGAATACACAACATATTTGGAACAAAGTTAAAAACTAAAACCATAAACTGCAATTTGCTTTAAATGTTTTTAAAAGTAATATTTCAAATCTTTTATTTGAACAATCTGAACTATTTTGCCTCTGTGTTCCAACCAGAACATGGCCTATGAAGTGTTGACATTACTGAATGAGGTGGAGCATCCAAATGCATTGAAACTTTGAAACAAGTTTCAGAATACTATTTTCCAATACTAGTTTAATGTAATAATTCTCAAAAATCATTTGCTTCTTGGATTATTATTCAGCTACAATAATATCATGATCAATTTGGGAAAAAAACATTTAAAATAATGTTTTTTCAAGGGAACCCAAATCTTTGGTCTTTACAATAACAGTGCCGAAAAAGCTTAATATATCAATTGTGGTAAGAGATAAACGGAGAACTAATATTTTGCTTTTTCAGAGTATGGGAAAGTAACCATTCGAAACAGTCTGCATAAACTACAAAATCACTAACCAAAAGACATGCAAAAAAGTAAACACTTTTTAAATACCCCTGTTCTCCCCTATTCGTTTATTAATATTGTGCCAGATAAAGAGTTCTGGAGAACTCAAAACCTTAAACCCTCTTCTGTGTTATTTTGATTAGTTCTAACAAAGGTTTTACTTAGCTGTGAATGTTGGATTTTAATATTTAAGAGGTTTCTCAATTATCTTTATCTACATGAAATGGACACTACACAACTTACTTTAAATAAAAATCAATTATTACGTCATTTAAAAATTCTCCTTCATTTAAACAATGAAGATCTTCATTGGTCACAGAAATACCCCCTTTTGCTGGAGGAGGTGGATAAACTATCAACCTGCAAAAAAACAAATATCAAGTAAGCTGAAGTCATATAATGTTAAGAAATAACAAAAAGTAGAACTAACTCTTACTTTTCTATAGGACCAATGAAGACGGTATGTGGCTCTCCACTTTCATCATCTTCAAAGAACTGGAACTGTGTTGCATTTTGCAGCTGCATTTTAGATTCAGAGACAACCTTAAGAAAATTAACAAACAAGTGTCATAACATATTTAAATCCTTTCTGACAAAGAAACAATATTACACATCTTTTATTTTTCTTAAGCAATTATTGAAATACAATAAAATAAATTATAATAACAGCGGCTCATTTGGATATCACTTCAGGCACTATTCCCAGCTTCATTTTCAGCTTTATGTACTATTGTTTATAAATATGTGTGCTCCTCATTTCCTTACCCACTTCACACACTCTCCAAATCTAGCTAACAATCCTAATCTGTTTAAAACACAGTTCTCTATATTATATGCTCAGAAAACTTTTTTTAAAAAAGGGAGGGGGCAGTTGAAAAATTTGACAGGCTAGTGATATTCACTTAATATGGAACTTTGTGTGGAAGTTTTAAAATGACACATTGTGAATCAAGTGTGTAATTGCAGCATGTGATGATGCTGTCAGCCACACATGTCACTTTTAATGTAATGGATGCCACAGTCCTTAACCCTGTTTCTGATGAGGGAAAAGGCTGAGTCTTTCTCCAGAGAGACTTGGTGAAATGTGTGTATTGCAATCATTATGTCTGAACACTAAATCCTGGCTTACTCTTGGTTTATGTGACATAGCAAACCTCCCATCGATTCACAACAGCAATCATTAACAGAACCATTCCTCAAGTTTAACTGTCTTCTTTTCTTCTTTTCCTTCCCCCTAGCAGTTCCTCCTCAAATATAAAGCAGAGCTGGAGATCTACTTCCAAATGCCAAATGTACTTCAGAAACGTAGTATAAAACAAAAGAAAAATAATCTTGAAAACGGAAAATGTATGTATCTGCACGCATACACATACATGCATACACATCCCAAATTAAATACCCAGCTTCACTGCCCTCAAATTCTACAAATACACTTAGCATACTAGGACAGGCAAATAAGAACAATATATACCCCTCCTCCCAAATAATCACCAAAACAAAACCAGAAAATAAATACAGATAAAATATTAAAACAAAAAATGATCCTCATAATAATTCGCATGAACAAAACACTTCACCCCTACACATGAACACAAATAGGGAAAAAATGCAACACATCTGGTTAGGGTGCTGGCCTAGAAACCAGGACACTGAGTTCTATTCCTGCCTTAAGCATGAAAACCGGCTAGGTAACCTTGGACCAGTCACTCTTTTCTAGCCTAACCCATCCCACAGAGCTGACATTGTGTGGAAAACAGGAGGAGGGAAAAATATTATGTATGTTTTGTCACTTTAAGTTACTTATAAACGTAACAAAGATGAGATTAAAAAAAAAATCTAACCCACCCCTCAAACAATACAAAACAACAATAGCAACCCTATCTGTAGATTTAAAAAAAATCTTCAGCAATCTAAAACACACAAGCCCACAGACCTAAACAGAAACCAGGCAGGAAGAACAATCTTATCTTACTAGCATGTTACAGGTACCAGTAAAAGAAAAAGAGGACAAACAAACCAGGAACGAAGTATGATGTGAATACTTCTCTCCTGTGACAGACTGGCTCTTTCAGATTTTTCTAGCTTTTAAATCTTTATAATAAAAACCAATAAAATATTTTACATTTTTTCAGCCTATACATAATCTAAAAATAGGTTTGTGTTTTCTTTAATGGAATATTTTAGACAATATTATGAATAAAATAATGGAAATAATAATTTTTTAAGAGTTACATGTTTTGTTTTGCTTTCTTTAGGACCACCGCTTCCTCTAGTATCTTCAAAAGATTTTGTAAAGGCCACAAGCCTACTGTTTGCTTCTTCAAAAGTAATTTTCACGAAAAATTCAGAAATGTTGTTCCTGATACCAATTTCACTTATTATTTTTTCAAATATTGCATTTGCATGAGGATCAAGACTTGTCTCAAAAATTAAAATGATGTATTGTTCTTCTGGATCTATGAAAAAAAGAAAAATGTTTTGTTAAAAGTCCATGAATTTATTATAAATTTAATATTATAACATATGCTGCAATCAAAATTCTCTTTTAGGTTTACATGTTGTTCTGTAGAAATAGATAATTGCAAACAAAAGGCCTTGATCAATAATATTAAAGAATATCCACATGAAGAGGCTACATGTTGCATTGATATATTCATCTGTGTGTTTTGAACACAATATTTGCATGTTAATCATCTAATTTATTTGAGCAAAAGGCAGACTGGGGTTAATACAACATGTCCACAAACACATTTGTACTGTACTCAAATATCTCTGAACTGCTGGATGAAAAATAATCTGATAACTATTGTCTTAAAGACAATACTTCTTAATCTAATGTTGTTCCATTGAACATGCATTTAGCTTCTGTAAATTTCAGAATGCTGAATTCACAAACACTCTTTTTTAAGTAGAATAGTTTAGTTTGCTCTTACTAGGCTCTTGCCAAAATAGTTTACATCATCAGACTATTTTATTATTCAAAAGTAAGAATCTCTTCGAAGAATATAAAAATAGTATATATGCTTTACCATTATTTACAGCTAAACTTTCTATTAACTTAAAGAAATAAATTATTATTGGCATTAGCAAAAAGGAGAAATAATCTAGAAGTCTAAAAATTCAGATTCCAAAGGTGCTGTTGCTATGATAGTAAAAAATAAGGTTGATCAGCATGATAATGCCTAATGAGGCATTATCTACAAAGCACATGTGGATATAAGGATTATTGCCAAGGAATTTATAGGCTCGAGAAAATTCCAAAAGGGCTCTGTGAAAATGCACAACCCACGTTTATGAATCACAGAGACAACGAACCTTGTATTATTTATATATTTTCAGAAAACAGCATGAAAACTAATCTAGTTTACCATATTCTAGTCTGCTCATAAAATTCTTAAAAAAGGATAACATAACAAAATTTACTTACTTGCTCCTTTACAATCATACCATACATTATCTTTTTCCCTATTCATCTTCAAATGTGATCTTAAACTTTGGCAGGCAGCAGGTACAGTTTGCAAGAAAACCACTGGCAATTTGCGTACACTACACCATTCACACTTTGTAAGTTCAGAAGTTTTTAAATTAATATCTCTAGTATCATTTTCTGACTCTAAAAAATAAAAAATATTCAATCAAAATTTCATCAATACTCGTTCAAAATAATAGCAAACTGTTATCAGAATAAACCAGTAACATCCAAGGAAAAGTCTATATTTGTAGCCACTAAATGTGCTACTGATAAAGTATTTCCTAGTCAAACACATTTGAATTTTAGCCTGACAACTTTTTAAATGAAATTAAAAAAAAAAAAAAATAAGGTAAATACAGAAGGAACATTGTTATTTCAAAGGTTATAAAAAACAAAACAAAAGTCAGATTACAACAATACAGTTATTACTTAAATTTTTTGGCCCATCCAATACTACATTGTGAGGAACAAAACCCATTATTCTCTGAAGTTAACTTCAAAGCTTTAACAATTAGAGACTGAACTTTGGAAGGTATCAAATTAAAACCTGTTCTATGAACAGAATGGGAAGTGGGCATTTTTTTCAAATTTATTCCAAAGTGATATTCTGTAGGAACTCACAAAGAAAGTCCAAATATGCAAGGAGCAGTCTACTAATATAATGCTAGGCAGTATGTTCAGCAGGAAACAAATGGACTTGGATAGAAGATTATCAACGTAGAAGGAGAAGCAGCTGAGTTCCCCATTTCACATCCCATACTACTCTGGAATAACTTTAGGGTCCAATTTTTTGGGGCAGGGGTTGACTAGGAGATAGAATTCACAACTGCCTAATTTTTATCCCTAGAATATTTCTTCTTTGTTCATACCTCTATGAACCAACTCCCCTGCCTAAAAAGAGGCTACACAGTATGGCCTCTAAACTGTAAAGAAGCAGCATATATCTCATTTGTAATGAAAAGTGTGGGGTTAGGTTGCACATATGCATTAGTGAAAGAGACTGCATTAGTTTTAACACACACACACACACGCACACACACACACACACATATATATAGTATGAACACAATTATGATTTTGTATGGGCTTCAAAAGTTGTTTTGTAGCACCTGAATTATTGTTTTGCATATCCATAAAATGACAGGTTGCTTAAAATATAAAAAACATCAATTACTTTATTTATTGAACAAATTTATATGGCCATCCAACACCCCCATTATTAATATTATTTAATGCAATATCAAAAAAAAAAAAATCAAAGCATAAAACCCATAGAGTTTATTTCTTCAACCATTACCTAAATATTGGTACTGTACTTTCAACATTAAATACTGGAAATTATTGCTAGTATCTATAAAAATCATTTCATTTATTGTCTTTGATTGGTCTGTTAATATCTTAAAAATGTATTTCAAACGTTTGAATTTGCCTTGGTGTTTAATATGTTATATATAAGGAAGTCATATTTTATATTTTATCCCACCAGAACACATAGAAAGAAACAAATATGTAATTACCAATTAATATGGACTACTGTAATGCTCTCTACATGGGGCTCCCCTTGAAAAGCACCCGGAGGCTCCAACTGGTCCAGAACGTAGCCGCGCGGGTGATTATGGGCGCAGCTCGTTACGCCCATGTAACACCTCTCCTACGCGAGCTGCACTGGCTCCCGGTGGTCTTCCGGGTGCGATTCAAGGTGTTAGTTATCACCTTTAAAGCGCTCCATGGCTTAGGACCTGGGTACCTACGAGACCGTCTTTTGCCACCAATAGCTTCCCACCGACCAGTTCGTTCTCACAGGGAGGGACTACTCAGGGTACCGTCAGTCAAATTATGTCGACTGGCGACTCCCAGGGGGAGGGCCTTCTCTGTGGGGGCTCCAACCCTTTGGAATGAACTGCCCCCGGAGATACGGAATATCCCTGATCTCCGTGCTTTCCGCCGTGCCCTCAAGACCCTGATGTTCCAACAGGCAGGGCTAAACATACAAACATGCGAATGATTTTTTAAATATTATCTAATTCTGGGTTTTATTTAATTGACCAAACTAAGTAACAATTTTAATTAGCAATTTTATGTTTGTGTGTCTATATTTTTCTTGACTGTACACCGCCTTGAGTCCTACGGGAGAAAGGTGGTATAGAAATATAATAAATAAAATAAATAAATATATTTATCACGTACAACAATATATAGAAAAATCATAACAGGAAAAGAAAAATACTAACCTTCCAAACGTATCTCAATATAGTCTAAACAAAACTGGAAAAAAAATTTATATTACTACAGGTATAAATTCTCATTAAAAACCTATGATTTGAAATTATTCACAATGAATTAAACCAAGACCATAAAGAAATGTACTGTCCTACATCTGCTTCAGTGCAAAAACAGAGACTTGCCAAATTTTGTTAATCATTTTTTTTCCATAATTTGGGACATAAGCATTCTTCCATGAGTACATAATCACATTTTTTGGGTAACAATCCAAATTCATATATCCAAACTTCTTCACAGACTGAAGGATTTGATATTTTTGGAACAGTTTAATAATATATTAACACATTTAACTCCTAACTCTCAAGAATACAGTTAGCTATATCCTCGACTTACAACTAGGCATTTGGTGATTGTTCAAAGTTACAATGGCAAAAATGAAAAAATGACTTATGACCGTTTTTCGCCACCTAATCTCTCTGCAGGTCCAAAAACCCAATATTTGCTACATCTAGAATTTTAGGATCTGCTCCATATTCTGAACTAACAGAATCCAGAACAGGAAAACAATAATGGATCTTATTCAGTTAGAAAACTGACTGGCCCAGAATAGTGACAGAATGTATGAGAGACAACCTGTTTGCTCTATGTGCAAAACAAATAGAAACATTTTCTATTCTGTGCATAACTCTAAAAAGTATAATTCTATCACATCTGCCTACTCCTTACCATTCTCAAAGATCATTTAATTATTTTTTCAATTATTTTTTAACTACATCTTTAGATTCTCCATCATTATAAAACATAATTGACAAACCGCAAATCTATTACTTTACTTACAATTACAGGATCCACCACCATTTTTCGTAGAGTTCCTATTCTTATACTCCGACAGTTCAATATGACACTTTCATAAGAGTTCTGATATTTTGAAGGTATTATGACATCAGTCACAGTTTCTTGGGGGAAAACTTTTCGACGCTTTACAGGAGCACTGGATACAATGTTGCCAAACTGTAAAATAATTAACATCACCATTTTAATTTATGAAAAATAATGGTAATTATAACATGCATTTCAAACATATGGGCTATGCTTCAGAATTACTGAAAACTGGCCAAAATATTTGCAAGTGAAACTTTTTTTAACTTTCAGAATATTTGTGCAAATAATGTAAATATTAAAAGTATGTCAGTGGCACACTTCGTATACAAATTCTGAATGGGATCTGTATGCAACTCTTCTGAATTTGAATTAACTCCTCCCATATCATACACATAATTTATTTAAAGGTATTCTCCACATCAATAATTGCAAGACAAAACAGGATAATTCTAAAGTCATAAGAAAGGTATAAAGGTATAAAGATAAAGTCATATAAACCTTTTTTTGTAATGTGTTTCTGATGTTCATGCAATATCTTTTTATTACAAAGAGCGCGAAGCAATAAATGTATCCTTCAACAGACATCAAAACATAGCACCAATAGGCCTTCATTTGGGTAGAAAGAAGATTGCTCCAGAAGATAAAAGACTGAAAATCCCTTTCTTAGAACATCATCATGTGACATCTCCAGAAGATGATGTCACCAATATAATTTCTCTTAATGACTAGAATGATATAATAGGCCTATAATTAGTTATAATTATATAACTTCATTCTAGGCTGTGTCTGTGTTTATGAGCCACAGTGGCGCAGTGTTTAGAGTGCAGTACTGCAGGCTACTTCTGCTGATTGCCAGCTGACTGCAATTTGGCAGTCTGAATCTCACCAGGCTCAAGGTTGACTCAGCCTTCCATCCTTCCGAAGTCGGTAAAATGAGGACCCAAAATTGTTGGGGGCAATATGATGACTCTGTAAACCGCTTAGACAGGGCTGTAAAGCACTATAAAGTGGTATATAAGTCTAAGTGCTATTTCTATTGCTATTGCTATTGCTAGGACAGTGTTTCTCAACCTTGGCAGCTTTAAGATTTGTGAACTTCAGCTCCCAGAATCCCCAGCCAGCATGTGTTAGGGTTTTAAAACTAGGTCTGTCAACGTGCTATCTGTAGACATCAACTCTCCTTAATACTCTAGTACTTAGTACTGGAGTATTACAACTTACTCACACCTATTAATTTAGACCTAATACGTTTTTAAAAATAAAACAATGACCCAAATCTTATGAGGCTTTAGAAAATCTTTTAAGATTCTAAAGCATAAAAAGAAGCCAAACTCTCACAAAATTCTTACATGAATGCTAAAATCTCATAAGTACTTGGGTGCACTGATGAGTCAATGTGCAGGAATGTACGGTGTCCTTAAGGCATTGTTTGTTTTGGGTACAGTTCCATTGTGGACTCTTGTGCCTTATTTCTTTTCTTAAGGGAAAGATGGTATCTTCCCACTGTATCACCCTAAGCATTAATAGTCAGGAAGCACTGTTATGTATAAGCCATCATTCACAAAAGAGTCTCTGTGTTCAAAATGAAGAACTCATACATTCCATTTGAACTGACACAGGTAAGAGTTTCATAAAAAGTGGCACATGCAGACCTTACATATAAGATATATTAGAATGAGAAGAATAAGAAATACTGTCATAAAAAATATCCTACACATGTACATCTATCAGAACTGAAGATATAAAATATATGAGCTGACAAAACATAAAACCAGTGACAAAAGAGTTCTAAAAGTGCAACATTAGAAGCAGTACAGTATATTTTAGAAGCACTGAACACAAAGTTAAAAACAACAGTGATGTTGAAATTGTCCCATTGATTTTAACAAGAGTCTTATTTTGGTTGAATCACATATCTCCTTCCCCTACCATGTACACCTTTCAAAAAAGCCAAGTTCAAGGCTTATAAAGTGGAAATAGAAGGCCAATGTAGCAATATTGATGCTTATTTAGGACCTACTCTGTTTAATTTGGATTCTTAATTCCATGATAGAGACACTGGACAACAACACTGTATTTGAAATTACCAGATTCTATTTTCATCTCATTTTGTATCAACTCTACAGTGTTGGCCACTAAATTATTCATATACAGTAGATGAGAGATTATGGCATTTGTATCTAACACTGTGTGGACTGTATAAATATATTATTTTGATTCATTTTATCTAGTGGATTGCTGTAAAGCATATTTGCATGTTTTTAAACAAGTTCATAACTTAGAATACCCCTACAGAGAGCTGCTGCCGTGACTGTTAAGTCTTTAGATTAACATACCGTGAAAGTTGTCCCCCTTGACAGCACTCAAGGAGCCTGTTCATGGTGCATTTTTGTCTTTGTTTATCCAATTCTTGCAGTGATGCTCAAACTAAAAAACAAAAATCCCCACCATGAAATCCTTACAGTGAAGTGCTATTAATTGGGACAATTTTCAATGTATTTTAATTTAAGGATTGTTTTCCTTGTGGAATCAATTTATCTTCTGAAATTGATTTACACTTATCAGCAAAACTGTTACAACCACTCCCTTGGGCTGTTTTCCATGTTTTTAATTCTACAGGAATAGAAGCAACATGGAAGTGATGGGCCACATAGAGATAATATCCTCTTTGGCCAATTTAAGTGTTCCATCTTTGAAAACGATGTGGTTGTCGGAAATTGATTTCATTCTTCTTACACAGTTCCTGTGTAAGGAAATTTAACATGGAAAGCAGTACAGAAAAATGGTTCTCATTCTACTGAGGCAAGTTTTAACTAATGTCCCAATCCAGCTAACAGCTTTAATTACATCAACAGACTCATTCATATCCAATGAGATTTCATTTCTTTGTGTTTACAGTGGCGCCTACACTTGATCTTCAATATTGCATTTAATAGTGGGTTTTTTTTATATCTTTCAAATTTCAAAAATACTGTTTTCACCTTACACCTCACCCATACTGTTTGGGAAAACTGATATTTTTCACAAAGTCTAGTAGTTATTAACTGTGCAATTCTTCATTTTGTGTTTTAGGGAGCCAATATGCATATCCGGTAAATATCTAATAGATATCAAAAAAGATAGCTATGCAGTAATCCTATTGAAAGATAATTAGTTATAGATTAGAAGAATAAATGTACACTTGACTCTTGAATTTCATTTATAAAGAAGCAAGCACTTTCTTCCTATATTCAGAACCACTGATGGACAGGACTATTTTCCCATTAAGATAACATGATGTATATGTATGCAGTCACTATCCTAAGTTTCCACTTACACAGAGAAATCACTGATAAGCTTACATATTCATTTCACCCTGCATATGGAGGAGCTACCTGATCTTTCATTCTTGCTTTTCTTGGTAATGCTACTGTAGATTCCGTTTCTGCTGTAATGCCAGTTAGCCTTTGTTCTAGTTCACAAGTATTTTCCTTCAGGGCTGCTTCCACTTTTCCTGTGGAAGGTGCAGGAGAAGAACAGGCTGAATCTGCTGGGCGTGGCGATATGCTCTCCATTCTGTTAGTGACACCAATCTGATCTTCTTCTTCATCACTGGAGAGCACAACTGAAAACAAAAGCATTTGCCTGACGTTTATATTTTATGATAACTAAAATATGAACTTTTAAAATTATCACGACAACTAAAGTTTACTATCAAATTCTAAATAAGAAGTTTAAGATAGGGGAGAAGTGTCTATTTAGAACAAGATAAAATTCTAGCTGCGTCCTAGCACCTAACCAGCATCGGCTTATCTCAAAAGCAGAGCTAAAAGCTACAACAGACAGGACATACTATTCATATGTAGGAATCTAAGATATAACTGCAATTTGTATTCTATATAACTTTAAAAGACTACATATTCTGCTTTGCTCTAGTATAGGTTAAAGCAAACATAACTATTCACATTTATAACCTGCTTTCTCTATTTTAGAACTTAGAACTCAGAGACCTTCAGAACATACTCCAAGACCATAAAGTAACTCCAGTGATATATTTCCTCTTCAAAATAGTGTAGGTTATAATTTTAATTTTTACCTAACTTTAATTTTTTTTTAAAAAAACACATACTTGGATCATTTAGCTCAGATGCTGTTGTAGTTTTCTGCCGTAAATGTCCAGTCAGTTTAGAACCCACTTTTCCATTTGGCCGTAACATAGCAGGGCCTATACTGCGCCTCACCATGTGATCCGTAGAAACTGTACCAGGAGATGATCCATAAAACTTTTTTGCATTTAATCCTGTGCTTAAAGAATGTTGCTCTGTTGAACTGTCATGTATTGATTCTCGTGCCAAATTATCATGTAAAGGCATGGTTTGGGTGGATTGTCTTTGCAAGCCTCTAAAAACTCCAGAAAGCTGGCATTCAGTCTCACTTTCATTTGTTTTTCCAATGCATGGGCAAATTCTGGAGTAACTATCCAAGCCCTAGGGTTAAAAAAAGATATTTTTGTGCATATTTTAAAATCCTATTATAAATAAATGCAACAGTTGTTGAATACAACTTGTATATAGATTCATAGATCTAAATTTGTTTTTTAAAAAATAGAATTAAGTTCCTGTCATAAGTTACTATCTAATTTAAATTACCAGCTAATTCAGCTGTTCTTTTGCTTTTTGTCAGGTTTTTGTCCCTGTCATTATTCCTCCAAGCCTTTCCATTTTAACACTTTACTTTTAGCGTTACTGCTTTTATATCTTTTACTTATCTCATTTCAAAAACCTTCTTCCTACTTACCTTATCTCTTAAGAATATCCACTGAACATCACTTCAAATATTTAATCACAGATTTGTTGAAGACAATGTTTTAAAATATTTACCACCTGTTTATGCAGTGAAAGAACTATAATTCAGCAAGTCCACTACTTTATAACTTGAAGATTAATACTGAAATATCTAGTTTATTTTCTAATGGAGTCTATGTAAAAGAAAATATTTTTAGATTTTAAAAAGCAAACTGTTACAACAGTATTAGCAAAGGAATATGCAGCCAAACTGCAACAATTATAAAAGACCTTATAACCAAAGTTTTGAACTGTGGTTTTACCCTTTTAATAATGTCATTTCCTGACTTTAACAGCAAGTAAGGAAAAATAAATATATATAACCCACCTCTATGTGGGTTGCATTAGTTTTGGTGGCAGGAGATGGAAGCAAACCAGCCTGATAAAAACTGCATTGCCGTTTCTGTTGTACCCTCCTTGTAATTCCTGACTCTGATTCTGAACCAGACTCATCTCTGTTCTCCATCACTCTTTCTAAAAAAAATAAAAAATAAAAAAGAGGGAGATCATTACTAATCACCACCAAATATCTTCACTTGAAGAACAGCAACTCTAGTTTACTCTTTTGCTTTTCATCAGGATGAAGAAAAAATAGTTATTAATTGCTTCTGTCCAGGTACCTGTGCCCTATGATAATTCAAGGGGAAAAAAGGCTACGAAGCTATTCAATCAAAACAACTGCTTCTCACTCTAAGCAGCGTGTAGCTGAAATTTCAAATGAAAATTGATGTCCCAACACAAAGACCTACTTTTTTTCTAAATATAGACCATAACCTACAGACTAAATATATTGACTTCAATATATTAAATAACTACAGTAAGTAAGTCAAAATCTGAGAGTGACAAGTTCTTTAAGAAAAAAAAATATAAGTGTAACAGCACAATGGTAAAGTAGTCAAGAAACTTGAGATCAACAAAGCAACATAAATATAATTCCTGCTACTGGATAGTTGAAAAGAGATTTGTTTTCCCACTTCAAAACACATTGTTATAAATTGAAATTTCTATATCATCAATTAAAAATACAATTTACAACCCTATTAATCCCCTCCTTAACGAAAACGTGAAAGGTCTGTTCTTACCAAAAAGTAATAAAACAAAGGAAAAGGGGGGAAATCAATATAAAAGTAGTTTTTAAAGAACAAGCAGAACAAGATTTTTTTTCTTCTTTTGTAACTGTTTCTATTGAAAAAGCCAAACATGTATTTATTTCTTATTATATAAAATATACAATTAAATCATTTAAATATATATTTTTTTTAAAAAATTAAAAACACATACTCATCTCCTGAAGCTGAGACCATTTATTGCAATTGTTATCCACCTTTGGAATATTATCGGGGTATTCTTTCCTAGAAAAAGTCAGTAAGAAGTTGTATTCAGAAAAATTGCAACTATATTTAAAACATAGCAAGTCAACAAAATGTTAAAAGGTATTTATATTTTACAATGTAGAAAGCTAGAATATTAAAATCTACAAGTTTCTAAACAGTGGCCAAAAAGCTATGTGAAACTTCTGAACTTTTTATTTTTGACTTCCACTACACTGTCTGACCATGCTGAAATTTGTTGCATTTCTACCAATTTAAAGTAAGAATCACAGAAAAGCTTATCATAGTGAACATTGATACACACACACACAAAATCCCTCACTCATTTACATCTATCCTATGCCTTTTAAACTTCTAAAAGAATATAAAGGCGATTTTAGCCACTAAGACTGTCCACTTGATTATTAAATGCTATATCTAGGTATTTAAGTTCCATACCTTGGTCAGAATACAGGTAGTCCTTGACCTACAATCAGTCCATTAGCAACTGTTCAAAGTTATGACAAACCCAAAAACTGGGACTTATGACCTGTGACATGTGCCCTCCTCCCACAGTCACGTGAACGCATTTTGGGCACTTGGCAAATGGCCTGCATCTACAATTGGTTGACTTAACGACTGCCATGTTCTCTTAACCACTGCAAAAAAGGTTATAAAATCACGTGCAGCTATATGGTGACCTGCTTTATGACCTTCATGACTTATGACCAAAATTGTGGGCTTAATGATGGTCTTACATCAAGGACTACCTGTAAAACAAAAGGCTATGAAATAGAAAGTTCCTAACAATATTATCTTTGACTTTCAATCACAACATAAATGCTGTTCCTAATCAATGGGTTCTATCAGTCAGCTTCATAAAATAAGTATGTAGTTATTGCCACAGTCCTGATAAACTCTTGTGTGAGGAGAGAAGCATATTATTTCCATACTGCAGGGGGGACATGAATTCTCATTATGCAATTAAGGTGAAAGTATCCATAAAATAAGATGTTGACATTTTTAAGATAGACACAAAAAGTTTGCAGCAGTGCAATAACTATTACTTCAGAAAAAAAAATTTGATTGAGTGAAATGCACTAAGCTACTTGAAATAGTAAACAGAATCTTAATGTTACAATAGATAATGGAGAGAGAGTGGGGGAGGGAGGGAGGGAGAGGGAGGGAGGGAGGGAGGGAGGGGGAAGAAGAGAGATTACATCCCAAAATTACAAGGTTTTTTTCGCTATTTATATTTTATTTTCGGGCAGTCAGTTTGTCCATAACCACTTGAGCTATGAATTTTAGCTTACAAAACAAATCAGTCGTTTTATTGTCTAACCATCCCTTCTGTCAGCATGCCAAACTTAATAAAACCAGAAAACTTCCATCAGACTTGTTCAGTACATGATTGAATTAGGTTTTCTAACTTGTTCTAAAGTAGCAAGGAACCAAACGCTAAGAACAACTGTTGTTTAAATTTCTGGCTTGTCAAAAGAACAACCATTTGGAGGAAATGCTGAATAAACCACAACGTAAGTCTTTCTGGTTGGTTTAGCTATTTCTCCCAGAATAAAAAGTGTCAAGAATTTGTTGCAGAAATTAAATCCAGAAAGCACACACAGGTAAACTGATTCAGCAGGATTCATTAACTTCTTTATATACATATAGTGGGGCAAAAAAGTATTTAGTCAGCCACCAATTGTGCAAGTTTTCCCACTTAAAAAGATGAGAGGGGCCTGTAATTGTCATCATAGGTAGACCTCAACTATGAGAGACAAAATGAGAAAACAAATCCAGACAATCACATTGTCTGATTTGGAAATAATTTATTTGCAAATTATGGTGGAAAATAAGTATTTGGTCACCTACAAACAAACAAGATTTCTGGCTCTCACAGACCTGTAACTTCTTCTTTAAGAGGCTCCTCTGTCCTCCACTCATTATCTGTATTAATGGCACCTGTTTGAACTTGTTATCAGTATAAAAGACACCTGTCCACAACTTCAAACAGTCATACTCCAAACTCCACTATGGTGAAGACCAGAGTTGTCGAAGGACATCAGAAACAAAATTGTAGACCTGCACCAGGCTGGGAAGACTGAATCTGCAATAGGCAAGCAGCTTGGTGTGAAGAAATCAACTGTGGGGGCAATAATTAGAAAATGGAAGACATACAAGACCACTGATAATCTCCCTCGATCTGGGGCTCCACGCAAGATCTCACCTCATGGGGTCAAAATGATCACAAGAACTGTGAGCAAAAATCCCAGAACCACACAGGGGGAACCTAGTGAATGATCTGCAGAGAGCTGGGACCAACGTAACAAAGGCTACCATCAGTAACACACTACGCTGCCAGGGACTCAGATCCTGCAGTGCCAGACGTGTCCCGCTGCTTAAGGCAGTACATGTCCGGGCCCGTCTGAAGTTTGCTAGAGAGCATTTGGATGATCCAGAAGAGGATTGGGAGAATGTCATATGGTCAGATGAAACCAAAGTAGAACTGTTTGGTAGAAACACAACTCGTCGTGTTTGGAGGAGAGAGAATGCTGAGTTGCATCCAAAGAACACCATACCTACTGTGAAGCATGGGGGTGGCAACATCATGCTTTGGGGCTGTTTCTCTGCAAAGAGACCAGGACGACTGATCCGTGTACAGGAAAGAATGAATGAGGCCACGTATTGTGAGATTTTGAGTGCAAACCTCCTTCCGTCAGCAAGGGCATTGAAGATGAAACGTGGCTGGGTCTTTCAGCATGACAATGATCCCAAACACACCGCCCGGGCAACGAAGGAGTGGCTTCGTAAGAAGCATTTCAAGGTCCTGGAATGGCCTAGCCAGTCTCCAGATCTCAACCCCATAGAAAACCTTTGGAGGGAGTTGAAAGTCCGTGTTGCCCAGCGACAGCCCCAAAACATCACTGCTCTAGGGAGATCTGCATGGAGGAATGGGCCAACATACCAGCAACAGTGTGTGCCAACCTTGTGAAGATTTACAGAAAACGTTTGATCTCTGTCATTGCCAACAAAGGATATATAACAAAGTATTGAGATGAACTTTTGATATTGACCAAATACTTATTTTCCACCATAATTTGCAAATAAATTCTTTCCAAATCAGACAATGTGATTGTCTGGATTTGTTTTCTCATTTTGTCTCTCATAGTTGAGGTCTACCTATGATGTCAATTAAGGCCTCTCTCATCTTTTTAAGTGAGAGAACTTGGACAATTGGTGGCTGACTAAATACTTTTTTGCCCCACTGTATAATACATGAAGATAAATGTAAAATACCAATATAGATTATTTTTCAACATAGTAGTTACAAGCAAAATACAAGCAGGGTACAGCAGACAGACTAGTTTTTAGCACAGCACTCAGAGCTTAACACAGAGCCACGCCCAGGCTTTTTCCAGTTTCAGTTTCAATTCACCAATCAGCTCCCATTGGCTGACTTAGTTGCTATGCCTATTCATTGGCCGACCTTGTTACCATGTCTTCCCAGTCATGAATATTCTGACAAAAAGCTCAATAGAAATGATGCTATAGAACTGACGCACAGGTTGATCGCTATCAATAAAGCCAAAATTCTCAGCAATTTAGCATATTGTTGTATGTGAATAAGACTCTCTTTACTAAGCTATTACTAGATGTAAAGCATTTATTTTAGGATAAAATGGAACAGATAGTTGATACTGCATGTTATATTCTTTAGCTATCTAAGATTCGCTGTTATACTTATATTCCTTATAAGTGTAAAATTTTGGAGAGATAACCATGAATACTAAACAAAGAACTAAATCAGTGGTTCTCAACCTTCCTAATGCCGCAACCCTTTAATACAGTTCCTCATGTTGTGGTGACCCGCAACGATAAAGTAATTCCTAAAACCATCGAAAATATGTGTTTTCCGATGGTCTTAGGCCAGGGGTCCCCAACCTTTTGGACCTCAGGGACCACCAAGTTCATAAATTTAAATTTCGCAGACCACTAATACGAATCCAATGCGCCACTTGCTGAACCACCTGGACTCCCAGTGACGGGATGGGGTCCTTCAGGCACTCTCCCTCCTCTCTATCTCTCTGTGTCTCTCTCCCCCACTCTTTCTCTCTCATTCTCTCTTTCTCTCTCTCATTTTCGCTTTCTCTCTCTCCCTCTTTCTTTCTCTCCCACTCTTTCTCATTCTCTTTCTCTCCCTCTCTCTCCCCCACTCTCTCATTCTCTTTCTCTCTCCCCCCTTTCTCATTCTTTCTCTCTCCCCCACTCTCTCATTCTTTCTCTCTCCCCTTCTCATTCTTTCTCTCTCTCTCTCCCACTCTTTCTCTCATTCTCTCTCCCCCTTTCTCTCTTCCCCTCTTTTTCTCTCCCCTTTCTCATTCTCTCTTTCTCTCTTCCACTCTTTCTCTCATTCTTTCTCCCCCCTTTCTCTCTTTCCCCCTCTCCCCCCTCTCTCATTCTCTCTCCCCCTTAATCTCTCTCCCTCACTCTTTCTTTCTCTCTCCCCCTTTCTCTCTCCCACTCTTTCTCTCATTCTCTTTTTCTCTTCCCCCCCCTTTCTCTCTCTCCCCCACTCTCTCTCTCTCTTTCTGATTCTCTCATTCTGATTCTTTCATTTTGTCTCTCTCTCTCATTCTCTCTGATTCTCTCTTTCATTCTGTCTCTTTCTCTGTCTCTCATTCTCTCTCTCACAGTCTCTTTCTCTCATTCTCTCTCTTTCATTCTGTCTTTCTCTCTCTTTCATTCTTTGTCTCTTTCTCTCTCTGTCTCATTCTGATTCTCTCTCTTTTTCTCTCTCTCTCTCATCTCATGGGCCAGCCAGTGTCTTGGGGCTGAGAGGAAGTCAAGCATATCCCTGAGAGACTGAGGGCCGGAAGAAGTGTGGGAGTGAAGCACTACTTGAACTTGTGCGGCATGAGCATTCGCCTTGGTATATTTGTGCCAGCCGATGGCCAAGGCAGCCTCATCTCTCCGCTGAAAGTGCGGCATCAGGATTCTGCCTTGGTATATTTGTGGCGCAAGGCAGCCCTCATCTCCTGCCG